TCGAGGTACGTCGCGCTGTGTTCTACTCGATCATATCCTTTCCGCTGAACGCGACCCGACGGGCAGGCGGCGATCAAGCGCGAGCTCGCGTTCGCGCCGTACGCGGACATGATCTGGCTCGAGACGAAGCGGCCGGACCTCGAGCAGGCACGCGGGTTCGCACGCCGCATCCGTGAGCAGTTCCCCGGCAAGTGGTTCGTGTACAACCTCTCGCCGAGCTTCAACTGGAGCGCGCAGGGCTTCTCGGGTGCGTCTATCACTCCTTCGAGAGTGGCTGGATGGATGGCTGATGGAGATGCAGATGCGGACTTGAAGAGCTTTGTGTGGGATTTGGCTAAGGAGGGGTGAGTGCGCTGTTGCTGTTGAGGTGCTAGCAGGGTGCTGATGTATGTGACAGCTTCGTCCTTCAGCTTATCTCGCTCGCGGGACTGCACTTGAACGCGGCTGCTACGTGTACGTGTTGCTTGCTGGTTCAAGAAGGGGGCGCGCTGACGACCAGCGGTATCATAGTGGAGCTTGCTCAACGGTATAAGACCGAGGGCATGAAGGCGTACGTCGAGCTCGTGCAGCGCAAGGAGAAGGACCTCGGCTGCGACGTGCTCACGCACCAGAAGTGGTACGTCCCGTTCTCCCGTGCTGACCTTGCAGCAGGGCTATTTTAACTGACACGTGGTGCGCGATGCAGGAGCGGCGCGAACTACATCGACCGTATCCTCACGACGATCTCAGCGGGCTCGTCGAGCACGTCCGCAATTGGCAAGGACTCCACGGAGCACCAATTTTAACAGGTTTTACTCGGCCTTCTCAGCCCTTCCGCGATCCTTGCCGCACCGCTCGCTTAGCATCCTGTAGGGCGTGCTGCGGCGAGCAACTGAAAATGGCATCATGGCCTCGGACGCGGGCGCGGAGGTTCGTTGTGGCGCGCGGCGCCATGCATTTCGATCGGGGGCAAGTTGTGTTACAGATGCGCGCAAAGGCGTGTGCAAATTTACCGACGCGGTGTGTATATATGTAGTAGTGATAGTAGTAAGACAGCGGTCCGAATGGAAGTGTGTAGAAACAAGAGATGGAATAAGTATAATATGGAGCGGGGTGCGCTTTTAGGTATCGACACAGAATGGGTAGAGCGGGCAAAGCGAGGAGGTAAGTGAAGTGCTGCGTATGTACAACCTGAAGGTATCGGCAAGCGCACGTCGACGTGCGGCGGGATGTACAGGAATAGTTAGGATTAGTGCGCAAGGAACGAAGGAAGTGCAAGAGAAAGGATGAACAGAGAAAAAAACGAATGCAAGTGAAAGCGAAAGCGAAGGTTGGCGGATGGAGAGCCGCGGCGTGCGGCTCTGGAGGGGGACACAGACACAGACGGACTCGGCCCTCCAGCAGAAGAGGGTTGCGGGAGTGTCCAGTACGGTCACTGTCGGATCGTAAAACCACAGTCAGCATGAGAATACTGAGACACACGAGCGTCGAAGAGCGAGCCAACATCACAAGCACGCACAACTTGAGGCATCTTATCACTCGTGCACGTTCAGCGCATAGTAGCCATCGACTGATCCAACGCGCGAAACTGGAACGGCACCGCCATCACAGGAGTGCCAGGGAGGGGCACGGGCCCCATGCCCGCACCCAACTTGGGCGACACGATCTCAAACTGTGACACGTCCACGCTCGGCCGGCTCTCTATCGACGAGCTCGAGCTCGACCCCGAGCGCCGCTGCTTCAGCGCGCCTCCGCCCAGCCGCGGCGGCGACATGCCCGGCGTGAGTTGTCCCCCGGACGAGGAACCCGCCGTCGAGATCGACGCAGATGACAGGCTCGGGCTCATCCGCAGGCGCTGTGAACCACGCCTGCCGCCGCCATTGTTGTTGTTACCGTTCAGGATGTTCGACTGGCTGCTCTGGTGGCGGAGCACGTTTTGGCTTGCTGCGAACTCGGGCAGCGCGGGGCTGGGCGGGATGTCAGCGAGCGCAGCGGAGAGCGACGCAGCTGACGCGTGCTTCATGCTCCCCGGAGAAAAGATGCTCCCGTCCATGATGCTCGGTCGCCGGCGCCGTACCTGCCCATCACCCAGGAGCTCGATGCTCGAGCCTGAACTGGAGCCTTTCATCGATTTGAGGATCGACTTGCGAATACTGCCCTGCTTGGTGTCCGGCAGCCGGGGCGACGGCGAAGCGGACGGGAACTGTGGTGACGCAGACGGCGATGGAGCGGCGGACGGAGGCAGTGGAGGGAGCGCTGGCGATGACTGGCGTGGGCCATCCATAGGAGGCGTGCGGTTGGGCACGAGCGCGTTCCGCGCGTCCTGGATGAACTGCATACTCGACTTGCGCCGCGGCTTGGGCTGAGATTGTGCCGAGTCCGACGACGAGCCATACTCAAACGGCCTCGGCGACTTGGATACTGATCGGGATGTCCGCCGACTGGTAGTCTGATCGTGGAAGGTTGGCCAGTTTGGCGAGGACCGGCCGGACTCTGATATTGGCGTGGCGGGTCGCGATATCGACAGCTTGCTGTTTGTTTTCCTCCACAATCTCTTGATGTTTTTCATACTTACGAGGGACGATCCTTTCATGGGTTTTGTGTCGTCGGAAGCGACAGAGTCGATGGAGAATCGACTGGACGGTGTCTGTGCATTTTGTCGGTCATTAGGGTCAAACTGGTCATAGGCTCCTACAGACACTTTTCGGGGTGGAGGGGGACGAGAACTGCTCGGATTTGCTGCTTGGGACCCCTCCTGGTGCATTCTTGATTGCCGTTCTTCTTCATGAAGTCTGCTGGCCTCGGCTTCGGACGGGTACCGCCCGAATGGGTCAGGAGAGAGAGGGATGATAGGAGAATCGAGACTGTTCCGGTGGATCGTCAGTAGCGAAGGGGGGATAAGCGGAGGGTACAAGTCATCGTCGTGCTGACGTGCCAGCGTTTCATTGGAAACAGTACCGGAACGCGATCGCGTGGGCAACGCGCCTTGCGGCGGTTCCGTCGTTATCCCGTTGAAGGCAATACGAGGCGGCGAGGGAGGACGGCTCTCGGATCCTGAGCGCGACTCGGACGGCAGATGCCCGTTCATCTTCAGCGCAGTGTAGGGCACGGCTGGCCACAACGCACCCGCTAAGAGCGACGTGAAATCACTTCAGAACCGAAGGGGTATATATTAGCGTTCCTATATGCTATCTACATCATAAGCGACTGACCCCTGCAAAGGAGAAGATGGGTTGGTCTTCGCAATCGGCTTGGGTGATGCGCCCCATTGAGGTGGCGGCGACAACGTCGCGGAGAAACTGGGACGTCGGGGGTTATCTATGGCATCCAATTGTAAGCGTCTAGGAGATAGCGCGACAAGATTCTGTTACAGCATGTTCAATAGGACGTTTCAAGATGTATTGTGAGACCCACCCTCTCGATCTCGTCAAGCTGGGCCTTCATGATGAATTGACTACGCCGACGATCATACGGATCACTCTCATCGTACTAGAAGATTCTCTTGAGCCTTCAAATGGAGAGAAGATATGAATGACCACACCTCGATGTTGTCTTCATCCACGGTTAAACCCAAGTCAAGGTCGTCAAACGACATTTCTTCGCCCTGTTCCAATTCTGGGCTCTCTATCGTGCTCCCCTCCTGCTCGACATCCTGGACATGCTCGACCGACGGCTCGTGCACATCTTCGGTCAGCTCCTCAATTGACCTCGCAGGAACGGCGTCATCGACAAATGCCATACTGCCAGGTCTGCTCGGCGCGAATGGGCTACCCTGCACGGCAATACCTTCGCTCGAGGGCATAGACGGTGCCAGGTCCAGGGGCGGCGGAGGATGCCGCTTGACAGTGCCGGTCGTGGTAGTCGATGACCGACGCTTGTCCGGTACAGGGGAAGAAGGGATCGAAACAACCAGTTGTGGTCGCGAGTGTCGACGCCATAAGTCTGCAACCTCAGCCTCATCATTACACTCCTCGTTCTCGTCCGATTCGAGGTCGTCCGGGAGAGCTGACATGGCCGCGCCATCCAAAGCCAAGTCTACGACATTGCGATTGGTCTGCCGTTTAAACTGATGGGGTTGCGACTCAGAATGGAGGTCTGACCAAGTCTGCACATCGTTGCCAAAGACATCCGCTAATGGGTCGCCATGCGCGTCGACGTGGAGCTGAGCGGCCGGGTCGGTCTCTTCATGATCTTCCTCCTCCTCCTCCTCCTCCTCCTCATCCTCGAGCTGGGTGTAACCCTCCTCGTGGACATCAGCAACATCTGCGCGAAGCTCACGCAGGAAGGCAGGTACAGACTCGGTCTCCCTCATCCGTGTTACTAGCTCCAGATCAAATGGGGCACTCCTTTCCTCAGCCTCGCCTCCAACATCTTCACTCTTCTCTGATCGTGATTGGGCTCGTAATCTGGACTCCAATCTACTTGCCGCACGCTTTGCCTGATTGACTTTCCTGCTCCTCAGCCACGGCTCGTACCATGAGGCCTTCTGGCGGTCGATGTCGAACTCAAACTTCGCAAGGATAGGTATCAACGCGGGCGAATGCAAGCCTGATAGGATCAGTTCGTGGCCTTCCATATCGGAGACCGAAGACACGGATTCTGGGGGTTCAATCCCAGATTGCGAGGAGAAAACGGAATGGGAGGCTGTCGACGGAGTGGGAGTCATCGAGATCGCAGACAAGGGCGGATCCACCTTTCCGGGTGACAGAAATGGCCGTAGAGACGAATTAGAGGAGTCTTGCAACGATGAGGTGGCTGCTGGTGATGATGCTGCGAGTCCCAGGCCGATGGGTCGAGGACCTGCCGGCAGGCTATCCTCTTTCTCTGCCTTAACGACGCGGTGCCATATGCGTCTCCAACTGTCTTCAGATATGCGTGGACCTGGCTCGTCATGTTCAGTGCCATCATCGGGGCATCCACTCGAGGGTTGCCCAGACGTGAGGATGAGGTATAAAACTAGGCCGACCGTGCTCGGCAGCGCGTATTCCTTCGCGATGGCCGCTAGCTGACTCGACAGCGTCGAATACACAGGAACAAGGATGCCACGACGGAACTGCATATGGTAACCCGATGCACCGAATGGTGGTAGGAGAAGGTCAGGTTCGTCAAGCGCATCAGACTCGTGCGGTAAATGGGCAGGGGGAATTACGTGAAGCAGATACTTCGTTGATGACGCAGTAGAGGCGAAGCTCTGCACTGATGCTGCGGAAGGTGAAGGGGAGCGTCGAAGGTAATCCGAAGACGACGGCGACAGTGACGAAGCAGGGACCAGCGGTGAGGTGGTCAGGGTGGCGCTATAAGATATCGCAGGAAGAGGGGTCGATACACCCAAGGCGTTGGCTAGCTTGGCGAGCTTGTGAGGAGTAAGTGGGGTCCGTGGCGGAGCCCATGCAGGAGTTGACACGGCAGAGGTGGGCGAATAGTGCGAAGAGCCATCGTCAGAGGCCGTCGTGCGAGGCATTTATGTTCGTTCGTAAGCTAAGATAACCAAGTCAAAGGCACTGCGATGTGAGCATTAAGGCTGAGCGTGAACAACGAAGCCGTGAGCACCGAGCACGAATGTATGTACGAGAGGGCGCGTCGGGATACGCACTATGTTAAGCAACGTACTCAAAGTGTGTATCCCTTAGTCCGGCAAATGCAGCAAGGACATTAAGAGGCAGACTAGGTCCACCTTACCAGCGAGCAGATGGTGGGAGGAAAGCTGCAAGCCGAGAGCCGGGAACAACGAACTGAGGTGTTGCTGTTGCTGCTACAACCGTTAACGCTGTCTGCACCAGACTCTGCCCAGTTCCCCTCATCGCCCACGTGCTGCCGCGGATCTAAATTGATCGCATCCCAGATACAGATTCTACCGAGATCGGCAGGCCCCAGCCCTGCGCGGGCGGTCCTACATAGGCCCACTACCTCAGAATATTCATTCTCATTCGAGCGCAAGCATGCTGGCAAATTTTGCAACATATCAGCATCTCATGCTCGACGTCGCTTGATGATCATGCGACACGTCAATCAGTCAAGTTGGGAGAGACAGCCATTCTACGGTCAACAATCAGACGAGGCATCGCGACTGTTGGTTTGATATCGCACACATTTGTGGCACACATAGTCCAAACATACATTAGGACTGCACGTAAGCTACGAACAGGGATTTGCAGATAGCTCGAGCACACAGTACAGACAGAGGGAAGAGACGCGCCTGATCAGAGATATCCGGCAGAGGAGGGTGGTATAAAGGCCATGTTGACAGATGCGACTTATGAGAGAGTGGGGCGATACCGACAGCTTCACTTGATCTTTCCGTACTCCATCAACCTTCCCTCCCAATCCTCCCACCATCCAACGAGATCAGACGCGGCGCCCTCTCCCATCCAACGCGCCTTCACCAGACCCAACCAACGTGACGGCCGAGTACCGAAGAAGTGGAAGATAAGAGGATAACAAGATCAAGCAACGTATGCGTGTAGGGACAAAGAGATGACCAGGGAAAAGGAGACGTGGAAAGGAACGGGGTGGGTGATGTGGTTTGTATATACAGACACTGGAACGTGATGGAGTGGGACTTGCACGAACACTAACATCGCAACATACGGCGCGAGGGAAATCTCTTGCACGACGGTGGGAATAGGACAGCCAATCCCCACATCAACCCTCGAAAGGAGGATCTCTGGGAGAAGGGCTTGAAAAGAAACGAGCGTCCGTATGGGAACAAAACCGAGGCGATATGGCGCATGACGACCAGCGGGCGTGTGGCAAGCGGTCCCTTGGCGAAGAATTCTAGTAAGGATGGGCGAATGCGGAGATGATGAGTTGTCCGCAAGCCAGGATATGTGTGGTGTGAACGAGCGGAACAATGACCAGGTCATAGTCGGTCGAAAGGCTGGATGTCGTTTGCAAGCTTCTACGACCTCGACGGACCGGACCTGCTCCCACCACGCAAATTCCATGGACTGCCCCTATCTTGTTCTTCTCCAAGAGCGCCGTGGACCAATATGTTAAATCGACAACCGTGGCGCCAAACACGACAGGCGACCAAAAATAAAACCGAGCAGTTCTCCCTTCACCTTCCCTCCGCCCCCATGCTCGGTCGTACTCCGGACGCGCTCAAGAGACCAAAACCCCTCATTGTGGCCGAAAGGGTTTACCAGTCTCCGCGGTTGATCCTCTGCTGACCGACCGCACCGGCAGCTGCCTGCTGCTGCTGGCGAGTGTGCGAGCGCAACCTGAGATAGCGATGATCAAAACACGACCATAGCGCATGTGTTGATCGTCGAAACTTACATCCGGTCCGGCATGCGAGGCTCTTCTTCTTCCTGGACGACCTTGCGACGACCAGTTCCTCTAGCGCTGGAACTAGCTCCACCCTCCTCTTGGTTCCTGTGGACGCTCCAGTCGAAGACATAGTCGTACTGGTAGCCTTCACGGACGAAGAGGTCTCGGAACAGCTTGCGGAGGTAGGAGTAATCAGGCTTGTCGTCGAAGCGGAGGGCACGAGTATAATTGAGGAAAATGCCGAACTCATTGGGGAAGCCACGGCAAAGCAGGTCCGTTGGGGTAGTCATCTTCTTCTCCATGATACGGTCGTATTTCTGCTTCTTGGTAGCAGCCTTCAGGCCCTGCCAGGGCAGTCCGCCTCGAAGGAAGTACATCAGCACATATGCAAGAGACTCAAGATCATCACGGCGAGCCTGCTCGACACCCAAATGGGTGTTGATGGACGTGTAACGAGCCGTTCCTGTCAGGTTCTTGTTCTCTCTATAGGGGATGTGAAGATGAGTCTTCGGGTCTCTGTACTTCTTGGCGAGACCAAAGTCGATGACGTTGACCTGGTTGCCACGCTTCCCGATACCCATCAGGAAGTTGTCGGGTTTGATGTCACGGTGTATGAAGTTACGCGAATGTATGTACTCGATGCGGGATATCTGACGTGGCGCACATGAGTATGAGGAAGACCATGAAGAACAATGACGAAGAGCATGACGTACCAGCTGGTCTGCCAGCAGAAGGACGGTCTTCAGGCTGAACTTGCGGTTGCAGAAGTTGAACAGATCCTCGAGTGATGGGCCAAGGAGGTCAATGACCATGGCATTGTAGTCGCATTCCGTTCCAAACCATCGGACAAAAGGGACTCCGACGCCGCCAGCCAAAGTCTTATACACCTTGGACTCGTACTCAAGCTGGGGGTGCTTCGCCTTGACAGACTCGAGCTTGATGGCGACCTCCTCGCCAGAGATGATGTTCACTCCAAGGTAAATGTCACCTTTGCCTGATGTTAATACCACAGCACACGGAACATGAGACGCCACGCCTCGACGCACCGAAAGAGCCTGAACCGATCTTCTTTCCCAGCCTGTACTTTCCACCGACCCGAAGGTCCAATCTGAGCGATGACGAGTCGGCCATTGGGTATTTTACTGCAGTTGACCAAAAAATGAAGGTAAGTTTCAAGGATTCAAAGAATGAGGGGAAGAGAAAGAGCTGAGAGCGGCGGTTACGCGTCGGTAGCCGCACGACGCTGGCCTGGGAGCAACAAACTCTGTGCACTGCACAGAGCATGAACAGCCCTTGATCGAGTACAACTATACACTCGAGGACGGTCGTGAGCTGGACGCGGACGGGGCATCGGTATGCAAGCCCTCGGCCGTGACGGCGAGGCGTCCGCGAGGCGATGATGGCTGCCCGATGCTGGATAAAACCGAGGAATCGGAAAACAATGAATACTCACCGTAAAACAGAAAGGATTGAAACGATAGGACGATTGCTAGTGGCTAGCTGGGGAGTGGAGGGATGAGAGTGAGTGAGGGTTGAGTACAAGGGAGGAAGAACGGCGGAGGCAATGTGGCGGGCTGAGGAGCGTGGGAATATTTGTTGTTGAGCGGCACGCCAGTGGGCACTCCCATCGATGGCTGACCCGTACCGGCGTTCTTCCCCTTCCTTCTGCGTTCTCGCTCAGCCGTGTGGCTGGACTGGCTTCCTTAGGAGCTGCTCTCGTTGCAAATGGGCCAGAAGTCTGCCAGTCAGGTATATCCGCGGATGAATCGAGAACGAACACGATCGTTCTAAGGCCTCGGCGGCCCAAACTCTCCTAGGATAAAGCGCACTAGCATGCATGCGACTTATGCATACACTTGTCCCCATTTGCTGCCCGTTCTCTGTTGCACAGCGTCAGGCGCATGTGAACGTTGTGAAGTGTCGTGCTGACCGAGTTTCTCCCGGAACCCGGCGGGTGCCCTTTATGCGCTTATGGCTTCAATGGTCCGACGCGTCGTGCTACCGATGGTTCATGTCAAGCAGGTCGATGCTACGTTGATGCGTTTCCGATGCCCTGCGCCGCGTGATATTTCCGGTTCGTTGGTATGAGCGGTCGAGTTGCTGCCTCCGGTTCCTGAGTTGAGAAGCTTGTGCCCCGGGTAGATGCATGTAGGCACGCTTCCTTGCGATCAGTGTGCTGCGGAATCGTGCTGTTGCCTGTCGTTTCCGAGTTCCATGTACATCTCCTTGCAATTACATAAAGCTTGTTCTGTGCGATTGATATTCACGTAATATGGTGTCCCGAGATCTATCCCATGATCTTTGGCCTCACGACGGCCTGCGATGTGAAGGCGTGCGCATGGCCACGCCATGGATGGATGCTTGGGAACGGCAACAGTTGCCATTTCTAGAAGGAAGGGAACCTGAGGCTGCAACTCTAACATCGACCAGTGTCGCTGGCAACGCTGATACCCTCCCACTGCTGGAAATATACCCATCCCCTCGTCCCTGGTCTTCTCTCCCGTCGCCCTCGAGCTTCGTTCATTCCTTTCTCCGTACATTCCTTCCGTGATACCAACTTGCGCGCGTCCCAATGGCTTATCGCGCGCAACCGCAGCACGATCCTTACCGTCCTCGTCCGGGCAACAATGCCTACCCAGATTACCCTCCCACCTCTAACAGTCTCGCGCCGGACTATCCCCCTGCCCCTCCTGTTCAGCAGCCTCATTCTACCGGCCAAGGTTACTACCAAAGCCCAGCGCAGACTTACAACTCTCAACAGTGGGATGGCGAGTCGTACAAGAGTGCCTGGGCCAACTCGCAGGCCCACCTCAATCCGAGCTATGAAATGAGCCAGGTCGATCTGCGCAATACCCCTCCTGTCCCGTCCCTCGATTACAGCCAGTATCAACTGGATTACCCGCCGATGCAGCAGCTCAGGCCGGGCATCGGCTGGTCCGCTGTCCGCGAGAAGCTGCTGAAACAACGCGCCGTGAAGCAGGTCGAGCTGCAGGAGGGCAATCTCGTGCTGGACATGCAGGCCCCCTCATTCATCGTTCCCAAGGGCATGGACCATGTCGAAGAGATGACCAAATTGCGGTACACGGCGGCCACTTGTGATCCTGACGATTTCATGCTCAACAAGTATTCTCTGAGGCCGTATCTGTACAAGCGTCACACAGAACTGTTCATTGTAATGACCATGTACAACGAAGACGAAATTCTGTTTCTCCGCACTATGAACGCGTAGGTGATATGAGATTTGATCGTAAGACATCGCTTATTATTAGACGCAGCGCCCTCAAAAATGTTGCACACCTCTGCTCTCGTACTCGTTCGAAGATGTGGGGACCCGACGGCTGGAAGAAGGTCGTTGTATGCGTCGTGTCCGATGGTCGAAGCAAAGTCAACAAGCGCACTCTCCAAGTCTTGACCTTGGTAAATCACTCAGCTGTCATATAAAATGAAGGGATTGTCATTCTTAAATGTCGATATAGATGGGCTGTTACCAGGAAGGTGTGGCCAAGGATACCGTTGGAGGCAAAGACGTCACGGCGCACATCTTCGAGTATGCTTAGTTCTATTGCCAGCTCATATATTCCGGCTGATCGATTATTCCTAGATTCACCTCAAATGTGGTTGTATCAGAGAAGGGTGAAGTCTCGACGGGGGCGTGCCCTGTACAAATCATATTCTGCTTGAAGGAACAGAACAAGAAGAAACTGAACAGGTCGGTAAAATTCATAGATTTCTGCGGAGCTTCACTGCTGATCTACGAACAGCCACCGGTGGTTCTTCAACGCTTTCGGTCCACTCATCAAGCCAAATGGTGATACTATTATTGGATAAGCCTGTGGGGGATCTGACGTCTCCATTTGTGTAGTCTGCGTGCTTTTGGACGTTGGTACCAAGCCGACTGGGACGTCCATCTACGATCTCTGGAAATGTAAGTCAAGCAAGCTCAGTTCACGTACATTATATGCTTATTTGAATGTGGCATATAGGCTTCGACAGGCATTCTAACGTCGGCGGAGCATGTGGGGAGTAAGTGATCCGGCATCATTAGTACCAGTATTCAGTATCTGATCCTCCATTAGAATTTGCGTCGAGAAAGGACGCGCTTGCTGGGATATCATCAAAAGCCCGCTGGCAGCCTCACAGAATTTTGAGGTAAGTTATAGGCGATAGCAATCTGTCTCTGGCTTCAATTTACACAAATTGCGCTGCAGTACAAGATGTCCAACATTCTCGACAAGCCGCTGGAGGTAAGTGGGAAATTGCAGTTTTGCGCGGACTTTTACAATACCCAATTTAGAGCGTCTTCGGCTACATTAGCGTGCTGCCTGGTGCATTCAGTGCATACCGTTACAGGGCCTTGCAGAACGGCCCGGATGGGAAGGGGCCGTTGGCCTCCTACTTCAGGGGTGAGACCATGCATGGTGGCTCGAGCGGCGCAGGGTTGTTTGGTACGCGTCTCTCATCTGTGTCGCCTTGACTACGCGTTCACAATATGCCAATTTCAGAGCGGAACATGTACCTTGCGGAGGACCGAATTCTGTGCTTTGAGATTGTAACGAAGAAGAGGGAGGCTTGGATGTAAGTGCATTGCGTGGCCCTATTTGCCTCAGCATTGTCTCACAGTATATTGGATAGCCTGAAATATGTGAAGAGCGCGAAGGCGTCTACAGATGTCCCCAATACTGTATGTCATGCCATTTGTGCAACTGAAGGCCAGTACTAACTGCTTTCACAGGTCCCTGAATTCATCTCACAGCGCCGTCGCTGGTTGAATGGCTCGCTTTTTGCCACGGTACATTCTACTGTGTTCTTCTGGAGGATTTGGACTTCGGGACAGAATCCTTTCAGGATGTTGCTTCTCCAGGTGCTTATTCACACCTCATTCAGTCACGCAGTGGCTAATCATGCTGTTCAGTTTGAGTTCATCTACAACGCCGTTCAGCTCCTGTTCACCTGGATATCCTTGGCGAATTTCTATCTGACTTTCTACTTCGTGAGTCACTCCGTCACCATAGCGTATAATGTGCACTCATTGCCGCTGCTTTCAGTTGGTCGGTACCGCCACGTCCGGCAATAGCACCGAGAATGCCTTCTCTTGGATCAGCAAGAGCGCGGGCGCTGCCGTTTTCGAGGTCTTCTTGAAGGTCGCACGGTCATGTTGCTCTTGAGATCTTTATTGACTTCTCTCGCAGCTGTATATTGCTCTGATCTTCGTGGTAACGGTGTGTTCGCTTGGCAATCGGCCGCAGGTCAGTAGCTTCCTCCAATCGAAAGCTTCCGAATACTAATAATATTTCACTCAGGGCTCGAAATGGATCTACGCATTCTGCATGCTACTCTTCGGCTTCTGTAATGTTCTTACGCTGTGGTGTGCTGCGTATACGGTGTATGAAGCGGTCCCGCATACCCTGTCTGGCTGGAAGGACTTCGACAAGTGAGTGACGCATCATAGCTATGTGACATATTCCTAACGGGGTTCGTCATGTAGCCTCATTGAGACCAGCTCGACTTTCCGCGACATCGTTATTTCATTGGCGGCAACATATGGATGCTACTTCTTGTCGTCCTTCATCTACCTGGAGCCGTGGCACATGTTCACTTCCTTCATCCAGTACATGTTCTTGCTGCCTAGTTGTAAGTGTTGCTGCCTCTTGGTCCAGTCGCGCACCTAACGCATCTCTCTAGACGTCAATATCTTGAGTAAGTGAAGACGAGTGTGTCTGCGAAGTTGATTTGACGAGGTATCTGTCAGTGATGTACGCCATGTGCAACCTGCACGATGTCACCTGGTCCGTCTACGACATCAACATGCCCTCAATGACGTCGCTGATTAATGTTCACATAGGGGAACGAAGGGAGATAATGGCGCTGCTAAAGACCTAGGCGGTGCAAAGAAGGTGAAGAATTCAAACGGCAAAGAGGTCCTGGAAGTCGAACTTCCCACCGCACGCGAAGACGTCGACCAACTGTGGAACGCATCCCGCTACGCTCTTTCGGTGAAGCCTCCTGAGGAGAAGGAACACCGTGATGCGGCCACGAAGCAGGCGGATCACGATCGCAACTTACGGACGAATGTCGTTTTGTCCTGGATTGCAACGAATATGTGCGTTGCCAAGTAATATCGTCATTTCTCGAGTTGACAGGTCATTCTTCAGGGTGTTGATCTTGGTGTTCACGTCGACTACCTTCCAGAACTGGGCCGATAGCCTGCTCAGAGAGGATGACACCTTCAACCCATACCTCACGTTCCTGTTCTACTGCCTGTATGTCTATATGCCATTCTATGCTCCTCCAGCTTCAAGCTAATCTCATGTTCGCAGTGCGGGCCTTTCGGCCATCCGTTTCCTTTGTTCTATGATGTATCTAATTCTCCGTTTCATTGGATTATAGTGACAGAATGTCCGACGCCATTCATCTTGTGCAACTTCTGGTTCCCCCCTGCCCTCCCTGAGCGCTGTCTTAATCACTCGTATGACGAGCGGTGTGCTTCTACCTTCGTGTACTACCAATATATACCCATCTTGCTATGTTTCATGTTCATATGCATAAACCCACTTTGTTGGGATTATTGCAATTCGTTGGATCTGAGATGCACGATGAGCGCTTAGTCGCTGCAGTAATTGATCGCGACGTAATAAGAAGTGCCTGCGGCTGCTCTCTGTGCATTGTCACCACCAATCCACGAGTACGGGCATGCTCCTCACACTGCGCTAACTCGAGGACGGCCAAACGTATTCCAAAGACCAGAAAGTTGAACCTCATCTGAGAAAGACTCAACAATAGTACAACGATGGACGCCTCGGATAGGTCTGTGGATTATAGCAGGCACCCTCTGGTCATGCTGATCTCAGCGTTCTTCTGGGTCATACGTAAGTTTCAGTCATGCTGAAGTGGCCCCCAGATGTGCTGACACAAGATACAGTATGGATGCTGTCTTGTATCAAAGCACTCGCTGCTTTTGTGACCATCACCATCCCGAGATGGATCTATGCGATATTGTCTTATTCCATGACCCTGACGGTGAGCTTTCTATCGTCCAAGTGTGTACAGAGGTGCTGATATATTACTCAGCTCAACTTCTGGTCCTTCGCTATCATGTTCGTGCTCTCGGCCGTTGCCCTAAACTACTGGATCCGGTTCCGCTATCTCAATACATATACGAAGCTGAAGGAGCCTCCGCTGATCAAGGCAGATGCTCAGGAGCTCAATCCGGATGTCAACACACCAGATCATATGTCCACTTTTCATAATTATTTGGACGAGTTCTTGCAGGCAGTCCGAGTGTTTGGATTTCTCGAGAAACCGGTGCGTCTACCGCCTGTTCTCGACTCAGAAAGCAGTTAATGGTTTTCTAGGTATTCCATGAACTCGCAAGGCATCTGCAGACACGACGACTCATCGCGGGAGACACGTTGTCTTTGGACCAGGATAAGAGCTTCTACTGCGTGATCGACGGCTCCGTTCAGGTATACGCACGAACAGGATTACCAAGCGACGCATCTCAACCGGGTGCATGGGATGAAGAGGATATGAATGGCTACCAGCTATTGAACGAAGTGGGCTCGGGAGGAATGCTTTCCAGCTTGTTCACCATCCTCAGTCTCTTCACCGAGAATGTCAAGCTCAGTTGGCGAGATGTAGATAACGAAGAGTTCGAACCAGTGGGGCTTTCCACGGCAGGCCAGACGCCGCTGCGAAGTCACCCTCAAGAATCTGACTCTGACGTCTCGAATCTCGACCTGCCATCCCCGGTGTCTAGGGCACGAAGGCCGTCGATATCGTCATCTGGTTCGACCATCCATCCTGACGGCATGACGTCTCCCCTCTACCGGTCCTCTTCAGCAGAATTCTCACAACCGCATTCATCACGTCGCTCATCATCCGCTCACCCTCGTGCGAGCGCAAGTACGGGACATGACAATCATTACAGTGTCGTTGCCCGCGCTGTAGAGGATAGCAGTCTGGCTGTCATCCCAGCAGAGGCATTCCGTGGACTTACAAAGAAATTCCCCAAAGCTACTGCCCATATCGTGCAAGGTGAGTGACTATTGCTAAAATCGCCGCCGATCCGATATCAACATTAATCCTAGTAATCTTGACTCGATTCTCGCGAGTGACTTTCAATGCCGCACATAACTACCTGGGTCTGACTACTGAGGTCCTTCGCACTGAGAAGGCTATCAACGAACTTGCGTGTCATCCACTACCGCAGGTGTTTTATGAGAGCGGACTGAGGCAACTTCGGCAACGATTTGACAGTGTCCCGCTCTCTGCGGAGTCAGATACTGAGAGTGACTACTTCAGCCCGCCCTCATCCTCGGAGAACTCCTCAAGAACGTCATTACTGCCTCAGAACGTGCAAGACAAAGTCAAGGGTAGCTCTACGTACCAGCCACCGGCACTCAAAGGACAAACGCTGCGACAGATGGTACAAGCTGGAGATTTGCTCACTTCGACGGGACAGATTGCGGAATCTTCCGGGCCGCCGTCGCGTAGGATGAGCACGCTCTATGATCCGCGTACAACTGCGCAGCCACGCGCCTCGCATATAAACGAGAACCAAAATCGTATTAGGCGAATGTCTGCTGACGAATTCGATCTACGAGAGGAGGTAATGTCCTGCATAGCGAAATCGATCGGACTGCTGCAACCACCAATCAGTGGCGAAGATTCTGTCGAAACATCACCTGTTCTATCTCCTAGTGACACAAGAAGTGGGCCTCCGAAGTCTTCATTTGGGTCGCTAACGTTGCTACAAATGGGTGATGATACCGCGTCCAGCATGACTGGGATGTCCTCCACACTTAACGATGAAGGACACATGAGTGGCTTGGACAACGAGGTAGAGATCCTGTTTTTCCCCGCAGGTTCAGTCCTGGCAAAAGCAGGAGAGCGAAATACAGGTACATGCGCTTCCATTTGTCTGATGAAATCTCTAAGTGTTCCGTTTACAGGTCTTTTCTATGTTATCGAGGGGTTCCTGGACATTCTATTACCACCTGCAAAGTCCTCTGCAGGTGGCGAGAAAACAGGAGCTCAATCCCCAAGTGAGGATGAGCATCCAATGCGGCCAAAGGCGGGACTGCATAGGAGTGATAGTAGACCTTGGAGCTCGGATGTACCTAGATCTGCTGCGCCTCTAAATGGAGACTCTCGAAAGCCGCTCTTTACGATCAAGCCTGGAGGTATTGCAGGATATCTATGTGAGTGTGGTCCAGTCGCAGAGAGTCCATGAAGTGACATCCGGCAGCTTCGTTGTGCCAGATCGCGTCGTATGTTGACATTGTTGCCAAAACGGATACCTATGTGGGCTTTTTGCCATCTCCGGCTCTTGACCGACTTCTGGAGAAGCGGCCAATCGTCCTTTTGACGTTAGCGAAGCGTCTCATCTCACTATTGTCGCCTATTGGTGAGCTGCGTTCTCTGGGTCTCTTAGTGCTCGGATGCTAATCCGGCGATCAGTCCTGCACATTGATGGATCGCTGGACTGGATGCAAGTCGACGCAGGCCAGGTGTTATGGCGACCTAATGATACCAGTGATAGCTTCTACATAGTTATCAATGGTCGCCTCCGAGCCATCGTCGATAAGGAAGGAGGTGGGATCAGCATCCTCGCCGAGTATGGTCAAGGCGACACGGTCGGGGAGTTGGATGTGATTACTGGTTCACCTCGAAGAAACACAGTACACGCAATACGCGATACCGAGCTTATCAGGATGCCTCGAACGCTATTTAATGCGATTTCATCTCGGTGAGTCAGAGATCCATATCGCATGATCCTAATTCTGACATTTCTTGATAGGAATCCGCGGGCAACTGCTCAGTAAGTACCATGAACGACGGGCAATTGAGATTCTCACAGTTGCTGCAGAATTCTTCAGATGATTGCATCTCGTGTCCGAACCGAGGTAGAATCGTTCAAGAGCACTCCGATGGAACTCTCGCGGAGCAATACAAATTTGAAGACCGTAGCAGTGCTACCCGTTTCACGCAATGTCCCTTTGGATGCTTTTGCTCGAAAGCTGCATACAACTCTTGAGAGTATCGGAGCGCCCACTTCTTACCTCAACCAGGCATCCATGTCCAACCACTTGGGTCGCCATGCATTTTCGAAGATGGGCAAGCTCAAAGCTGCGGGTTGGCTCACGGAACAGGAGCAGAAATACAGACTGATTCTCTACGTCGCAGACTCCGCCGTGAGCAGTTCTTGGACGCAGACTTGCATTCGTCAGGTATGCATTCATCTGACGGTGGCCGTGCGTTGTTCACAGTGTTTGTAGGCAGACTGCGTGTTGGTAGTCGGTATGGGAGATGACCCCAGCATTGGAGAATATGAACGTCTTCTACTCTCTTTGAAGACTACTGCCAGGAAGGAACTGATCTTGTTGCATCCCGATCGGTCCGTCGTCCCAGGCTCCACTCGCCAATGGTTGAAGGTATGTCTCCATGGACTTCGCAGCTGACTGTCTCGAAATCTGATGACGGGAGTTAGAACCGACCTTGGGTCCATCAACACTTCCATGTGGAGTTACCGGTAAGAAGGCTACATCATTCGAATTGACATGAGCATAAATGTAAACGAAGCACGCCAGGGACTCATGGCGTCCGTACCCAGGGCGGCCGCCGCTCACCAAGATCCGGCGGCCATTACAGCTTTGCGGACTCTCAGGGACAAAGTGCAAAGTGGCATCAAAAAGTATCGGCAAGGGACAAGTGAGCCCCGTCCGCAGCGCTCTCCACATACTAGCGACTTCGCGCGGTTAGCAAGAAGACTTTGTGGAAAGTCGGTTGGTGTCGTTCTTGGCGGAGGAGGTGCACGCGGTATTTCTCATTTGGTACGTATTGAAGTCCAACTCGCTAGGTAGACCATTCAGATTGCCTTCTCCATCACAGGGTGTTCTGAGAGCACTAGAAGAGTCCGGTATACCTATTGACCTCATCGGTGGTGCGTGAGGCTACAGACATAGTGAGAGCGTTCAACTGAGCAGACCCAAGGTACCAGTATGGGCGCATTCGTGGGCGGTCTGTATGCACGAGAGGGAGATGCTATCTCGAGCGCTGGACGAACAAAGCAGTTTAGCTCAAGAATGGGGAACGTCTGGAGGATGCTGTCCGATGTGACATATCCAATCGTGGCCTACACTACAGTAAGTCCTAGCAGTTCGGCGCTGCTGCGGACAGCTGACATCCCGCCACACAGGGACACGAGTTCAACAGGTCTATCTATAAGGTCTGTATTGTCATAGGCTTGTGGCGAGTTGTCTGAACCATGATGATGACAGGCTTTCTACGATCTTCACATTGAAGACATGTGGCTGCCGTTCTTCTGCAATTCGACCAATATCAACACATCACGAATGGAGATCCATGAGACTGGCTTTGCCTGGAGATTCATCCGTCAGTCTATCCGGATGGATAGTTGTACGACAAGATGCTGATTCACTTGTCACGCAGGCGCATCAATGACGCTTGTAGGTCTTCTGCCTCCTTTGTGTGACAATGGAAACATGCTTGTGGACGGCGGATACAGTAAGTCGCTTTTGAATGGACCAGACTGGCAGTAGACTGACTGTTATACTCACAGTTGACAATCTACCGGTGCGTGAAATAGTACAGTACATAGTTTCAGTGACTCACTCCATACAGGTGTCTGCCATGTTAGCTATGGGAGCGAGTGCTGTGATTGCATCCGACGTTGGCTCGGTGAGCTGCTATTCCTTGGTCAGCCAACTGGCAGCTGACGGGTTTTGGAAGCTCGACGACAACTCTCCTCGTAACTTTGGAGACTCTATCTCAGGATGGTGGCTTCTCATCAATCGCTGGAATCCATTTTCAAATGCCAGAAACATTCCTGCCATCACTGAGTTGCAAAGTCGCCTTGCATAGTAAGTTAGCCGACGCTCATTTTGAGCACCATACTTACTCTCCTCTATCCGTTAGTGTGTCAAGTGTGAAAACTCTGGAAGAAGTCAAGGTGATGCCTGGATGTCTCTATATGGGACTACCTGTGCAAGAGGTGAGTTGCGTTCACGATTCCTATCAGCGCGGGTTGACCCTTTTCAGTTCGGCACCTTGCAATTTGGCAGATTTGAAGAGATTCAGAAGAAGGGGTACGAAGCGGCGGTACAGCTCCTAGAAAAGTGGGGGGAAGAAGGACGCTTACCTTCTGCATTCGTCGGAGATGTGAGAGCTGCCCCGTCAGCAAAGACGAGAGGGAAAAGCGCTCGCCGAAACTCGATATGAACACATTTAAGAATACATTTCGCCCATATACATAGACGACTGTTTATAGATTATTTCCCCATTTAAATTCCTCGATGTGGCCTGGCTCAAGCCTGGCTCGATCGATCGTGAGGCGTCATGTGACTATCAGCAGACCACAGCGGTTTTTGGTGTTGGCATCACCCAAATGCTCTCATTCCTGCGCAATGCTCGCTTGCAGCGCACTGCTCGCTCGTGGACTACTGCTCATAGTCGTGATCTGAACTGCTCCGCCATCTTGCGTCAGGAAGAAACAGAGAAAGATGACGCGGAAGATGTACCCGCTAAGGAACGCTCCGGCTTTCGAGACGTGTCGTTTGAGCAGTGGCTGAGGACGGAAGGCAAAAAGTACGAGACATCACGTCGGCCACGGAACTGGCTGGGTGGCGAAGTAGTTGAGTCTTTGCCGCGCCTCCTGCATTGCGACACACGTTCTAACCTGTGCCTCAGCCTTTCCCCCTAAACCGCACCTTCAGACCTCCCCCACCCATCTCGGATCGACTTCGTGCCGTGATCTACAATGAGTTCATGTCCAATCCTGCTGTTTACACTGTACGAACGCTGTCGGAACGGAAGGGCATCAGCATGCAGCGAGTTGCTGCGATTTTGAGGCTGAAGGGTTTGGAAGAGAATTGGCGGAAGGTGAGTCATGAAATTGTGTGATTGTGTCCGTATTCCTTCATGTCCAGTGAAGAACATCAAGTCCGTTAGTCTTGAAGACATCGTCATGGTTAGACAAACCTTACATACATGGCTTTCTGTTTTCATTAACTTCGTGCTATGATAAACGCGTGTTCTGTATGCTAATCACTCCTCAGGTGATTTGCATTTCTGTCATGATACGGTGCTAAATACTCACGGGGCATCTTTGGATGATCGACTGAAACGATGCTTGTAGGAGGTGAGCACAGCGAATGTTTCAATTTTAACGCAGTCTGTACATCGTGTCCCATCATCGCAGCATGATTATGTGTATGCACTGCTACGTCGCCCGGAATTGCCTGGAGCACCTTTAAACTTTAGTGTTTTCTGACATTCATCTTTTAGGGCAAGCCTCTGCAAACCGGTTTCCTAGTCGGGATGGAAGAGATTCTCGGCATCACGGAAAGGAAACAGACTCGGCAATCGCAGATTGAATTGGCTGGTACGGAGGGAATTCAAGAGTTGGGCGGAGACGCCAGTCAAGCCGATCGGCAAATGGAAGAAGGCAATGATCGTGCTCGTGAACGTTATCAACGGCTGTTCTGGGAGCCGGTCGTTGAGGGCTACGTCTGTTGCATTGACTATGTTGTGATAAGATTGTGTTTGCTGACTATTGTCACAGGAGCCCATCATTCCTGCAGAGTTGGAGCGCGCTGCCACTGTGCACCATGAGAAAGCTAAACAAGAAGCGAGCTTGAAGTTAATACTCGCACGCGTGCCTCCGGTTAAGCATGAAACACACATTGTCGAAAAGGAAGGCCGACCTCCTATAGAGTTTGTTGATGTAGGCAGCAAGTATGTCGACATCGACGATCGTTTGCGCAGGTTGAAGGAAAGTGAGCGACGATCGCAACTCAAGGCGAAGAGGAGAGCACGGAAGGCTAGTTTGAAGCGGGAAAGAGCAGCTGTAGTCGCGCCCGCAGCGACGGATTAGCACTTCATGACTGCCCCTGAATCCTTGCTATCTACTCTCACATAGATGCCTATGTCACAATATAGTAGTCTATGTGTCCCTTCAGTGCGGCAGCGTTAAATCTCTGTTGCAGCCACGTGTACACCACAATTCATCCACGTCGCGTGCGGGCGCCTACCGCGGAAGCTTGCTACTATGAGCTAGGGACCCGCTTGAGACATCAGTCCACCTAGTAGAAGTTAACTCAACGTACTCTGATGGCTACTCCTTCAGCATCTACCTCTGATGATGCCTCAAAGCCTAACGATATCGAAGAAAACCTGCTAGACGTGTCAGTTCTAAAAGAGCTTGCGAGGAAAGGTCTCGTCGATGCATTGAATGGGGTGCGCCAGCCATTGAACTCGTTCGAGCTGCAGTACGACTTTCAGTCTGCAAGTAGGTGAATGGTGCCAAAACCCTCGTCCTCGACCAGTCCCTCGCTGGTCCGCTTAGCCTAGTGGCGGAGATCGCATTGCTCAAGGTGCTTGACTCGCCTTCTCGCAGTCGCGGTGACGCTCACGCGGAGGCATAGCACCATGGAGTGGACAAGATGTTCTGGCTGGAACCCGGTCCGCTCACTGCTACCACGACGAATGTCGTCTATCTGTGTCGTCCGCTTGTCAAATGGGTGAAGATCATAGCTGGTTGGCGTGCCTCTTAATCTCGTTATGCTGCTCCACTGACTGACGTGCGCCTTGGTGCGGTCAGATCAGGTCAAGCGGCTCTCTAGAGAGTCTGCGAAGCATACATACACGCTTCTTTTGGTGCCGCGAATATCCACTCTTGTCAGCAGGATTTTGGAAGAGGAGGGCGTTTTAGGAGATATCACGATCTCTTCGTACAACCTCCAGTTCATCCCGGTCGCGGAAGATGTGATTTCTCTGGAACATGATAACGCATTCAAGGAGTTGTGGGTTGTGGGTTTTCATAAGAATTTTGCGTGGATCGCAATCCTTACTTTTTATGCAGGATGGGGATGAGACAATCATCTACAATTCAATGCAGGCGTTGATGACATTCCAGAGACAATATGGGCTGTTCCCTCGTATCGTCGGGAAGGGCGACTATGCCTCAGTGAGCACCCTGATATCCGTCTAAGAGTCTCTTATGAACAACATATCAGCGTTTAGCAACACTGTTGACTCGCCATCCGCCTTCGAGTGCATCATACGCCCCAGACAACGTCGTAGCTGCTCAAGCGGGCCGAATAGACTCCTTGATAATCATCGACCGCTCAGCCGACATGATTACACCTTTGCTAACTCAACTGACGTACGAAGGTCTTGTTGACGAGATGTTTGGCATCAGGAACTGTCCGTCGTCTATTTTGCTGACCCTTCACATAACTGACATCTCGCAGCTCATGTAGAGGTACCTATATCCCTTCTGGCGGCACCCGCTACCCCTGGACAGCCAGCTGCATCATCCTCCAGTGAGCCGCCTGCGTCCACACCTGCCACGTCGGCTTTAACGAGGGAAAAGCGGAAGAAGCATCATCTCACCACTGCCACGGACCCACTGTTCGCCGAATTGCAGGACTTGAACTTCTCCTCAGTAGGCCGGAAGCTCAATCAAGTGGCCCGTCGGTTAGATGAAGAGTACAAGGTTGGTAGTTTGAAGAAGGCTAGCACATCTCGGGTGATGCCTGACTACTCCTAGCTTAGGCATCAAGCCAAGACCTCTGCTCAACTGCGGGAATTCGTCAGCAAGCTTGGGGGATTGCAGTCTGAACACCAGTCCCTACGGCTGCGTATGTGCGTCGGTGCATTGCCTGGGTCGTACTCACCTCGATCATGGCAGATACCGGACTGTCGGAGATGATCGTGCCTTTCACTCACACGGAGCAATTCAATAAGTCTCTCGAGATTCAACAGAGTATGCCAGTTCCATGGTCCCTAAAGTTATTTGACTGATTGGAAACCTGCTAGATCTTCTCGCCAACTATGATATTTCTGCACAACTGACCGCAATTGATGAGATGATCGCTCAGGGTGCAGATATGCAGATGGTCGTGCGATTGCTCTGTCTTGCCAGCATCATCAACGGCGGAATCAAAGCCAAGACCCTCGAGAACCTGAAACGGGAGGTGCTGCAGGTACAGCTCTGATTGACTTTCTTGTTGTTGCTGCTCTTTTAAATGCACCACAATTAGGCATATGGCTACAACCTATTGCCCATGCTACTTGCTCTATCATCACCACCACTATCCATACTCCTCCCCAATCCCCTTCCTCCGTCTGCTTTGTCGGCAGCAACAGTGACCAAATACCCATATGCTTCACTTCGAAAGTCACTACGCCTGCTGATCGAGGAACCCGACGCGGTCGACGACGTGGAGAATGACATCAGCTACGTGTACTCTGGTTACGCGCCTATCAGCATCCGGCTGGTGCAGTGTGTAGCACAGAAGGGTGGCGTGTTGAGCAATCCTGCCTCTGTGAAGGATAAGAAAGACAAAGATAACGCGGATGCAAACAAGAGCAAGAGCCCGCTGTCAGGCAAGGTTCAAGCCCATCCTATTGTCGGCTGGAAGGGCTTCGAGGACGTCATCGCCAGTATACCCGGTGGAACAGTCGATATTGTGCAGAAGGTACCTGGCGACGATGATAGTGTAGGACCCTCGATGCCGTCCTTACGTGAGTGGTTGACTGTCATCTGAGAGCATCATGCCGTTAACTTGTCATCTTCAGTGATGCCAAGAGAACGTCCCGCGACTACCGTAGTGTTCTTCTTGGGAGGATGCACCTACACAGAAATCGCAGCCCTGAGATGGGTAGGCCGGCAGAGTCGCGGTATGCCCTGGAACACGTACTGCGCATACACGCGCTGATGACAATTTCAGGTCGGAAATTCCTGGTTGCCACGACGGGCATCATCAGCGGTGCCAGTTTGGTAGAGAGCATTGCAGGCGTCGAGCGTTCCACTGGGAGCACGAAGGACGCTAGTCTGTCGTGACGAGAGGTCATTCATATGAGAGAACGTACGTCCGTTTTTAAGTGCACTATATGTACACGACGAAAGCTGTACTAGCAGTGCAGCCTTCGCCGGGCCATAAATGTCAGTCGCGGATCGGATTGAGTTCACATATTTATATGGGCTAGTCTTCGTATGATGTCGCAAAGACGCGCCTAGGCTATAGGCTGGTGACCCTTTTGTGACGCGGCGCGCTGTTTCAGTAACAATCTGTCGACTGGGACCCCATGCGCGGATATCTCTGGGTCTCGCTAAGGCGGCCATTCAAGTTCTCACGTTCTCGTAATGCATCCCTGGCCACCGCGATGGCTGCCTCCCCTGTTTCCTGAATTCCGTACTCACCTTCCGTGAAGCCCCCTCGCACTAGACGGATATCCATATTCGAAAAGATTCTACCCGAATATCGGCGCGCCCGGATTGATGAGTACGTACTTGAGCCCCGCTTACGAGCCGTTCGAGTCCTCGCGAAAAAGGATCTCGATGCGCTCCATGCGCGCGGATAGGCTCTTGCTACTATTCAGGATAGCATCTCACGTCTGTCAGGTGGACAAAAGGCTGCGGACACGCAGGGAGTGGCTGGGGGCGAGCCAGCGGGAATGCGCGATCGAAGCGTGTCTCAACAGGACTAAACCTGTCGCCACAATTTCTGGGCTCGTATAAGGCCCCTGACCTTCGACGCAATGCGTCACTCTTTTTCCCCCTCACCCGACCATCTGCTCTCTCAGAAACAAAGCACAAAACATCTCCCCGGAATTTGAGAATATTTGTGAGTGTCTCTTCGCCGTCGTAGATGCAGCCACCAGCTGACGAAGGTTAGTAGAATTGCGATGGTCCTCACCACGCAGAGCGCGCCGAGCGCCGGCAAGGAAGCCACCAAGAAAGCATCGATGGCCAGCAAGAGGAGTAGGTCTGAATTTCTGGATATCGTGAATTCTTCTAAAACACGGCGCAGGAAAATCCTCCTCCGGACATAGGAAAAAGCTCACCGACTTCAACAAGTTCATGCAGACCGAGGTTGCCCGTCTGAAGGAGGAGAATCCCGACATGCCTCATAAGGAAAGGTATGGGTGTCTGCCACACGTCGTGCCGGAATATTTGCGAACTGTTTACAGATTCAAGCAGGTCATCGACAACTGGAACAAGCAGAAGGAAAAGGAGAAGTAATGCTGTCCGGCTAGCACACGAGTGGCGTGGACCTCTTCCACTAACCGTGCCGCTTGATATATATTGATGTGTTCGTTTAGTCCGATTTGCTATGGCCAGGGTTGTGTCCTTTGCTCACCGACTGCTTATGACCCCGCTGTTGCGCCTGTTGCTCCTGAGTTTGTACTATAATGTATTATTATTGATTCAGTAACGTATTGTGACCTGACACGCCCCTTGCGAAATTAGCAGCATGCCTCTGCATCCATTGGTCCGTGCCACTACTCCTGAGTGATGATCCGGACGCAAGTCGACGGCGTCCCGAAATGCCACCTGCGAGAGATTAAACGGCGGTAGTGTGACGACCACGACGCACTTGTGATTCGTTCCATATGACCTGTTTCCCACTCCGGACCTCCCTCGACCTCTCTTCATGGTCCTCCGAGGCGTGGGCGCAGCCACTCTAGCACCGTCTCTGAGCACTCCTTTCTAGACCTCTCTCTCTACTCTCACTTGCGTCTGCTCTGTAATTTGTATCCTTATCTCTCTCCGCCACTGGCTCAGTTCTTAGAAACGCAGGCTCTGACCATGAGCCGTGCGCACGACATCGGTAACGAGGAGCTCGAAACGACCTTCGATTTAGACTCTTATGAACCGCTAAACCTCCTTAATTACCTCGAGGCCTCTGCGAGGGATCCACCATCCTGCCCTTCGTGCATCGTAGGCCGCATGGACGAGCTATTGTCTTTAAAGCCCGTTCCGATTCTGTCCTCCCGCCGCGAGCTATCCTTTCCTGACGGCATGGCCGACGGTACCACCTCCGACTACAAGGGCAAGACCGTATCCAAGCCAATGGATATCCAGCCGCGAGTGGTCTTCGAGAGCAGATCCTTGGAGATGCCTGATGACCTGTTTGCAATGTCCTTCAGCTCGCGGAACTCTCTTCAGGCTCATGAGCCCGTAATCGACATATCCCTTCCTTCTTCATCGTTCCACGATCCCCGTTCTCGAACGACCGTTGTCGCCTCAGCTCTTGTCGAGGAAGATATGGATGCTGTGACAGACAGCGAGGCAGGGCCTTCGTCCGGTAAGGGCAAGGCTCGTGCAATATCACCAAGCCTCCCGCCGCTATCCTTCGTCACCACTGAACTTAACTACGAGAGCGCGGACTGGCCGACAATCGACTTTTCCACCTCAGTTCCCGGATCGTCTTCGTACGGCTCAGCTTATGCGTCAGGATTTGGTTCCGTCGTCGACCCAGAACCTAGCCCGACTGGTTCTTCATCGCGAGGCATCATTGCTTCTCTAGGGAACGAGGTGCTCACCGATAACAATGAGGCTCCTTCTCGTCGCCGCACCCTTTCCGACCTCTCCACCACTTCAAAACGGTCGATGTCCGCAATGTCGATCACGAAGGTCAAGGTGAAGTTGTCTGGCGCGAAGGGGCCTGCTAATATCGCCCGCAAGCTGCTCTCCAAGAAGCGGGACAGTACGCCTGGGAGCCCGACGACCTCTGATAGCAAACACATAGTCATCGACACGGAGGTACCCGGATGCGTCGATGCATCGCAGGCTCACTGTTTTTCTCCATGGGTACATGACGTCAAACCTAAAGTCAGCCCAGTCGCTTCCCCTCTGGAAACAGAAGCGGGCGATACAGCCTACCCGTTCTATTATGCGGGCCGTCCATCCGACAACTCGCTGCTACGCAGTAAAGCCCGTTCCTACTCTTCGCCCCTGCCACTTCCCTCAACCGCTCTCGACCTCATCCCCATCACGACCACTGACATTTTCAAACCCATTCCCATCGTCCTACCTAATCACTTCGACGAATATCTCCCGAGCGAGCTAAAGCTGCGTGTTCTCGTCTCCTTGGTGGAGCTGCACGAGGCCGAACATTCAAAGCATATCGATGACGGCAAATGGACCGTGCGCAAGGCCGTCTCCCACCGGAATATATGGGTGGGCAGAGACAAGGGGGTGAGGGAGCTATTTAAATTGAGCAGGGTAGGTATACGGTGGCACATGCTTCGTTGAGACACAATGACGAATTGGTCGTTGCAGGTGTCGAAGGCCTGGCGGGCCCTTGTCTTTGACGGCCAGCTATGGGCGAAGGTGGACCTTCGTTCATTCCCGAAGCTCCCTCCTACAGTTCTCACGCAGCTGTCGACAACGGCGGGCAGCTTCATCAGGCAACTGCTCTTTGACGGCTACGCTGACCTTACAGCATTAACCCTCATAGATGTCACGGATCATCTATGCATTGTCAAGCCGCATAACGGCCCGGCCCACACTAATATCACGACGATGAACCTTCACGGATGCTTGGGGATTACCTCGTATTCGCTGCATTACTTGCTGACCCACTCTCCACACCTGCGCCATCTCTGCGTGAAGGGATTGTCAGCTGTCACGAACACTACTTGTGAAGTCGTGGCCAAGTACTGCCCGAAGTTAGTCTCGCTCAACATGAGCAGGTGTCCTAACATGAGTGGAGACGGCATACTCACACTTACGTCCCCTACCATCTCGTTTGGGGAACCCCTTCCACTAAAGGAGCTCAGGCTTTCGGGCCTAAGGCGTGTCTCAGACGAGGTGATGGCGAGTTTGGCAAAGGCCGCCCGGGACCTAGAGGTGCTGGACCTCAGCTACTGCAGAGATCTTCACAATTCTGCCATTGAGGCTTTCGTGGCCTGCCCGAAGGGAGACCCTGCGCGGTGCGAAGTTGTGCAACTCACATCACGCGAGGCAGGGCGAGATCCTTCCGACGGAACAATACATACCAGACGCGTGACCCGCCTCCGACACGTCAACCTGTCTTCCTGCATCATGTTGACTGACCACGCCTGCTCGCACCTCGCGCATGCCGTGCCCAAACTGGAGTTCTTAGAACTAGCGGGTATTGGCGCCGAGCTGAAGGACGATGGACTGGTTCGTCTGCTGTGCACTACACCTTTCATCCGACGCTTGGATCTAGAAGATGCCTGCGAGATCACGGATGATCTCCTCCTCGCCATCACTCCGGACTCCTCAGTGGATACTCGTTTTTTGGGCGCACCCGCTTCCCCGCAGCCAGGCCACGCGCTGGAACATTTGACGATCTCTTATGCTTCTGAAGTGACTACCGAAGCGATGCTAGCCCTGGTGTGCAACTGCACCCGGTTGCGTGTCCTGGAAGCAGACAGCACCCGCATTTCGGGCACCATAGTGCGGGAGTTTGTACGTCTCGCGCAAGAGCGCGAGATCAAGAATGCCCAGGTTGTCGCAATCGACTGTCGTGGCGTCAGCGAAGAGACGGTGAAGGACCTCAGCAACCAGACCCGACCTCGGATCGGCTGGCGTTCGTTCGAAGCGCGCAAGCTCGGCTTTCTCGATGCGAGGGACGAGGAGGAGCTGAGCGTTGGCCAGGACGAGTGCGACGAGCGTCGCGTGGCGCTCAAGACGTTCTTCTCGTGGCAGACGGTTGACGCTGTGCGCGCGGCGCGGGAGAAGAAGCGCAAGACGTCGAAGCGCGCTGCAAATGGGTCGTCGAGCAGCGTCGCAGATGAACTTGCCGGGTCATTTGCTGGCCGTGCGAGGTGGTGGCAGCCAAGCGGGAGAAGATCAGGCAGGACCTCTCCTGTTATTGTGGATCTAAACAACGACAGAGAAGGCTGTACAATCATGTAGGATTCCTTGCATCACTGTTGTTATATAGCATATTTTCCTCGCGCGTCGTCGTACTGTATCATATTGTTCGTCGCCGTCACTAGACCCCCTCTCTTGTATATTTGCCTTTGCGCGATGGTCGTACTTTCCGCACTTTGTACGCATATCGGTTAGCCCGAACACAGAATTGAAGGACGATGATATAATATTCAAGCGAGGAAGCGCTGATACATCAGGAACATACATCATGTAGGTAGCATCTAGGTCTTCGACGGTCTTTTCTTTACTCTTTGCCTTGCCCTCTTCGCTGCCTTTCTTTCTTTCTTTGCTTGCTCCGATGCAGACAGCGGCGTACTGCGGCCGCTGTCTTGAGGTGTTGTATTGGCCATCTCGACGTCGCTTGTTGACTGGTCGCGCGATGTTTTGCTACGCTTCGATGTGTCTTCTGATTGTGTAGCGCCATTTGGCGCGTCCCCGTAACCTGGATGGTTCGCATGTCAGTTATTAAATCAATATTGTGGGAGCAGCAGATGAACCTGCGAATGGGTCCACTTGTGGACGCCTGCGCTTTCGCCCAGGTGCGGACGTAGTGGATTCAGTTTCGTCCACGGCGCGCGCCTTTCCTTTCCCGATGCTCGGAGGAGTTACTTCTGCGATTTCATTTGTAGCACCTTCGGCGTCGTCGATAATTTGGAGGTCGTCCTCTTCTTCGCTACCCATCTCTGCCAATTCCTTTTCGTACTGGGCTCGGGCAATCATTTTACTCGTGACCTTGACGGGTACAGATGCGATTCCGCTGTCATCGAAGCGAATGTGTGAAGGGCCTTCGTTGTCTCCTGGAGGCCGTTGTGCCTTGACCTGGGCGATGGCGTGTTTGATGAAGCGATTCGCGGCGGCCTTGTCTACCTCCGTCGTTCCTGAGTAGCAAGGGTAGTGAATGAGCAAGGTGGAACATCGAGGTTCGATTTTCAGGGAGCGTACTCTTTGCAGGGTTTTCTGCATCCTTGATTTTGTCAAAGTACTGTCGTATACGAGCCTGCGTGCACGAACTAAGCCGATCATTCAGGACTGTCGTCGCAAGGACGTACCAACTCCTCCACGACAGGATGCGTCTTGGGTTCAACGCCCTTAGTTTTGAGATAGACTATGCTCAGGTCAATGGAATCCCGGGTCTGTGGAAGGATACGCACTGAAAATTAAGTCGTAGACGAGGTACGGCAGAGCAACTTGCAGCTTTGCTTGTTGTATGCGTTCTAGCCCGACCACGGTTTCTGGCAACGACTGCGCCAGCAGAGGCTCAAGCTTCGCCTCGAGGTCATCGAGGGCGTCGTTCAATAACGTAACTTTGGTATGTAGTTGGTCTGAGTCCATGTTTGCTCGTGCACGAATGGCGAACGATGCGGGCGCTTAGCCCTCACTTTTTGTAGATCGGGCGAGATCTGGCGGCAGATTCACATCCGCGGCTCGGCTATCAACGCACGCTCTTACTTCCTCTTGCCATGGTCAGTGCCCAGCACTTCGTCTTCTGCTCTGCGGGTTGACTGAGCAGTCTATTTTACCCAGTCTTCGGAGCTCAGATACACAGCCAACACACAGCTCGAGCATTGTGAGTGCAGTTAATGAGATATCGCTATGACTGACGAGCTCACGCCCTGAACCTCACACAGTGCATGCTCGCTACACTGGTACCGGTACGTCAGACTGTTCCTGCTCCTTCGTGCGGCTCCGTTGATATAATTTTCTAGGCCATGCCGACCTGACCAAATAGTTCGTCGGTTCTTGCAACTTGTTCGTGAAGTGCTGCTGACATCGACATCCGCAGTGAGTGGCTCACCCACCAACACCGGGACACTCTCGCATCTATAGTGGGCCATCCGTCACTGGCATCGTTTTTGGCAATTGCAGATGGAGAAGCAGTCGGGAGAGTGAGGTTTGAGATGACAGAGGTGCGTTTATGCGGCTCTACACTCAACCCCGAGAGATTCTAATAACCATCATCACCAGCGCATGCTTCAGCCATGTGGACCACCCCCTGCCAAAGATGATTAGAGCTGGTTTCAAGTATGTCTTTCTCGACGCTGATAGTTCTTCGGATGTGTGCTGTAAGAACTTTACCTCAATTTTGATTCTTGGCAAGCTGCGGATGTGGCACATAAGGCATTGATGTGAAACTTGTTGGAGAGTGCGGTCAGGAACGGCTGCGCTTATATGCATTCCGATTCCGCCTGCTAAGCGTATTCGGAAAGGTTGACTGCCCTTACACACCTGCTACCCTCGCGAGCCTTGCGTTGAATGCTTGCAACGCATTGTCAGTTCTTGCTTCTTTTGACGATTTATGCTTTTCCCCCTAGCTATCCGATATAATCAATCTGCTCGAAGGCTGTGAAAAACAAAGACCGCGTTCGGCTATGTCAGCCACTATGCGCCACAGGTCAGCTTCCTTCTCGTGTGTACATTGTGATGCGGACCATTTCCCTTTTGCCTGTCAGCCCTTTTTGTCGTAGGGTGCTCTACAACGCTCTTGCATCGTTGTTCGTTGTTCTCCACTGCCCAAACTCCGCCATCGCGGCACCCAGCGAAGTCGTCCGATCGCACTGCCTCATCTGATCTCGCACGGCGTTTCATCCAGCATGCCTATGATGGCGACCAATCTTTCCTGGAGTCCAGTTCTCCCTATAAGTGCATCTGTCTCAGAGGGATGCCTTCATTCCCTCTCCGAGCGCTTCGACTCTCCACAGGTGGCCTCCAGAGACTCGATCGGTAGCCCAGCTTGTTGCTCTACCCCTTCGGATAGCGATCGTCAGTCCGGGTCTGATTCTCGCGGACTTGACAGCTGTGATCTCGGCAAGGTGAAGGGCATGCATAAACAGTGGAAACGGTGCACGTCAGGCACACCGGCTCAACACCGCTCGCCGATCAGCGCACCTATACCGTTCTGCAGCCTGAAGCTGAAAAAGAAGAACGGTGACCATAGTGGGAAGCCCTCGCGCGCATCATCTGGCGATCTACCGAAATTGCGACGGAAACGGCCTTTGGGACAGAGCTACGATGGCACACGTTGGCACCGGAGCTCTACCGCAAGAGACGCCTCACCAGAGATTGAAGTAGTCGACTGGTCTGGAATATTTCCCTCTGCGAATAGTCAAGGAAGTCTTTCCGGCGCTCCAAAACAGAGCGATGGGAACATCGTCCTTCAAGATTCCGACAAGAACTCTGACGATGAAAAGAACCGCACAGTCGTGAGGAGGGGAATGCTGCATCACCCCTACTCGGCGCAAGAGGTCCCGTATCTGTTGGCATATTCTCCCGCTATGTTGGACAAGTGCGCATATACCCACATGACTTGCATTGCCTGAGACTGATGTTATGAGGAGCAGTGACTTCTGGACCTACAAGCTGCTACGACGGCTGAACCCGTACAAGTCACCATCCTGGCATGACTATGGAAAGAAGTCCCCTTCCAATGTCCTCGACCTCGGGTGTGGCGAGGGGCACTGGGTGCTGTACGCAGCCGAGGCATGGAAATCAGCAGGGACTCGCGTCACCGGTCTTGACATCCTCGATCTGCACAATAGTCCGACCGGACACGTCTCTCGCAAGCCCACAACAGCTGAGTATGTTCCGAAGAACACTACATGGAAAAGGGGGAACTTGTGCGTGTGCCGTCGTCGTATTCGTCATCGGTAGCTGACCTGCATGGGGAAGCGTCAAATGTCGGTTGCCATTCCCAGACAAAACGTTCGACCTAGTCAGGATGGCAAATCTTAACCTTTGCATACCCTCCGACCGCTGGGACTTTGTCATTGAGGAGGTTAAGCGCGTGCTTGTCCCAGGAGGACGATTGGAATTGATTGACGATGCGCTGATTTACCCTGTCGTCTCGCTACCTCCTAGTCCTCAATTATCTGCTTCTTCGACTGACGACATAGTATCCGATGCATCAAGTGCAGCATATCTCGAGGACATCTTTGCCGATATGATCGTCGAGCGTGGTCTCTCCGTGTACCCTCAAGACATCATCGCTGAGGCTTTAGGCCGCGTCTTCGGGATCGAAAACTCAAGGCAATTGCAACATCTTCGCCTTGCGGTGCCCCCACGTGAACTCCTTGATGGCGACACTGATGCTGCATCTCATCGTCCGTACCAGCCTCCGGGTCTCGTGCTCTTGCCGACATCAAAGCTGCTTCGGTTCTCACCTCTGGAGACCGAAATGTATGCATGCAAGAATATGCATGTTCTCTTGGGCAGCAAGAATGCTCTCATGGATTACCTAGTCGATACCTGCGGCAATCTGTCCTTAACCGAAGACGATATCAACGACATACTTTGGAAATATGAATGGTAGCTGTTCTAATCAACGCGAGCACAGAGCAGCCGAACTAATGACATCTGTAGCTTCAAGCGACCGCGGTTCAACTGGCCCATGGATCATTCTGGTCTCTGTATGGATGAAGAAAATCTTGACGCGTCGCCTTTGACGTCGCTGTTTCGTATCAATGCTGGATCCTTGGAGCGAGAGCGGTCGTTCTCTAATCCGAGCTGGACACATTTGCAGCTTGACCAGGAAAGCGTCGACAAACTCACGGAAGTGCGGGCCATTCGAGTGTACTCTGCGGTGAAGGTGGATTATTGACCTCTCCGCTGGCTATCGACGTATATCGTCTCGCATTCGGGATTCATTTTGTGTGTTTTCGTGGATATGTTTTGAGTTCATGCTCTCTACATGTTGCTTTGCTTTGCTGTTTTTCGTTAGTCTCTACATACCATCTGCCATTCAATCTCGTCGTGTAATCCCAGCATGTAGTCATCGACTTAGTTCCTAAGGTCCGATATGTCTATGTTCTGGAAGCAGGCGTGACGCGTCAGCTCGGGCACGCTTTGGTCAGCACGCAACTGACGCGTCCAGTCACGCCCGAGCATGTGACCGCGATTCATATAATGCAGCGCCTCAAAAGGCGCAGTGGCCTCGCGTTCTCCTCCCTCCTCACAGCACCATGTCTCAAACGTTCGTCCAGTCGTTCACCCATCTGAAGGACCGTCCTAAAGCAGAGCAAGCAGCCACGCTGTTACAGCGGGTAGCCTCGCTCGTCAAGCCCATCATGCGCAAGCATGGCTGGGTGTTGCCCGCCCTCGCTGAGTTCTTCCCAGATAGTCCGAACTTGATGGGTATGTCCCTGGATTCATGTTGTGCTGGGATGGGTAGCTGACTGCTCATAGGATTGAGTACGTGCTCGATGATGATTGCGATGAGATTTCAGACTCATCGAGGTCAATCACGCAGACATTAATGGAGGGCAGAAGATCTTGCTCAGGTTACGGCCCGCGTACGCGCCAGACACTTTCCTTGACGAGGAGTCAATAGTACATACAATGCTGCACGAGGTACGACCGAGTCTTATTATTCCTTCCCTGCTTTTACGAACGTTGCCCTCCTTTTCTTAGCTTACGCACAACGTGCACGGGCCTCACGACGACAAGTTCTACAAATTCCTGGCTGGTCTCGAGGAAGAATACAATGCCCTGAAGCGATCAGGCTACGCAGGAGAAGGATTCTTCTCGCCGGGCCGTCGACTGGGAACGAACGTCTCGCACAACCTCCCGCCACACCTAGCCAGGCAGAAAGCACTCGAGGCGGCAGAGAAGCGTAGACAGCTCAGCAAAGTGCTGGGCAGCGGCGGCCGTCTGGGTGCCGCGGGAGGCAGGATGCCTCGCATTAATAAGTCGCCGCGAGAGCTGGCTGCCGAGGTAGGTTTTGTCTGCGAAGGCCTTAAAGGCGTACAGATCTCTGATGAGAGGTGCAGGCTGCCGAAAGGCGGGCACGTGATGAGAAGGCTTGCGCATCCGGAGCAGCCGCACAGAAGGAAGCAGAGAAAGCAGCGAAGGAGAGCGTCGAGGATGCGATTATTGACTTGACACAGGACCCCAGCCCTGAACCAGGTGTTATTTTCGTGGGCCAACCACCGTCCGCAAGCGGCTCTTCGAAGGCAGCTGTGTCATCCAACAGAGGGAAGGGCAAGGGGCAGCGCGTGAGCGCATCGTCGTCGGAACGCCCGGAACGAGTCATGGCTTCGAGTGCATCGCGTTCGGTGCCATCTCCGGATACTGAGACATGGGCATGCCCGCGCTGCACGCTCGTCAACGATCCGCTCACATTACAATGCGCAGCATGTGAACTGAGTCGTCCAGAAAATAGTCAATCAGCCTCCACGAACGGATGGACCTGCGGCGTCTGCGGCGAGACGCGCATGCCACCTGAGTTCTGGAGTTGTAGCTTTTGCGGCACCATCACGGCTCATAGTTAAGTAGGAGATGGTGGTGGATTGTCCGATACTTTCGTGGGCTATAGGTTTGGTTGGGTGATCTAGCAGGATTTCATGTGTCATCTGTATACCACAATTAGGATACCTACATCGCAACGGTGCATCTAATGTAGCGCGCACATACCGTTTCCGCATCTCGTAAATCTTGACATGTCGGTCATTACCCGCATTGAGGACGAATTTTTGTCCTTCCCCGGTCATCGTACACCTCTCGTGGACTTCTAATGACTGTTCTACTCGCAACAAACGATGAGCACGGCGCATTCAGACAACTCTGCTATACGTACCAGCTGCCTCTAGAAACAGCGCTAGAGTCTCTTCATTTCTCACGGTCAACGCGATGTAGGCCACAGCACCGCCGCTTCCAGTTAATTTTCCGCTCTCAAGCGCCGTTGATAGCGTGCAGACAAGCGGAGCGATGATATCCGGGTCATACACCTACGCATGGTCGTCAGCGAAGATCGCAATTGTTGATGGGTGGAACGAGACCTTACAACATCGGCACCGACGATCACGTCAGGATCCATATCACACAACAACGCCGAGAGAACTGCCGGTCTAGTCGCAGAATCCATGGCATCGGTCCAATCAAGAGAGCGAAAGCCGACGCTCGCATGCTGAGATGACCTGTCTACGTACAATGAGATGCTTCAGAGGAAGGTAAAGGATAATAGCAGCTTGACGTACTACATGGTAGTCTCACGTTCTCTTGGCACCTCCGCAGGACAGCATCATTGACATCGGTCAAGAATAGAGCATCCCGCGTCCCCGAGACTTCATTGTCGCAGGAATGGAGTTGGAGAGTCGCAATCACGATGCCCAAGAAGCCCACACCACTACCTAGTTCTAGTATACGTTTTTTTCGGATGAGCTCTGCAGAGAATGTCAGCCGCCGCTTGGACATGTACAGTAGCCCATTGACCTGGATGCTCGGTGAGATAGTGCGCTAGGACCAGAGCAGCGGTCCAGGTCTTCAGGCCAGTTGTTCCGCTCTCGATCAAGGTGCGGGACTCCATGAGCGTAGCATTGGCGAGTCCAGGACCAAGCGTCCCGCTTACAGACGGATCCGTCTTCCAAATGTATGTCACGTAGCTCTCCTCCGGAGGATCTAGCCCCGAAACCTTGCCTCTAGTTCAAGTCAACCAAAGCCAGGCAAGACTGCTTTGATTACTTACACGGACGGCCGTATTACGAGAGACGTCATGCGCTCGTATATGCGCCCGTCAATCTCGTCCTCCTTGCGCGACGGCTCAGCTCTCTACCGAGGGTCGAGACATTCCCGCCTCTGCTCACCTCTTCGGTGACAAGTCTCTCGAGGAGGCCTATCGCCCATTTCCAGAACGACGCCTGGTATTGCTTGGATGGCGGATATTGCTGGAAATGTGGGTTCAACAGTATTGAATGCAGGAGGAAGTCATGGAATTCTTTGAAGCCGACCAGCGGTGGTTGTTGCAGGCGAGACGGACATAACGAAGCGAAGCCCCTCAATACATCAAGTAGTGAGTCCGTTAACATTATCGCCAGTCTTGAGCTCAACGAACGACAGGATATATATTTCCCGAAGTCGCCGCGCGCACGCTCATTCGCAATCGCGTCGCGCGTCTTGCCCTGCCCTAAATCGAGCACGTTTTCTTGCAAATAGGCGCTGAGAATTTTCAGACCTCGCCCCTTCGAGCTGCCTCCTCGCGCCGTGTTAAGCTAATGACAGCAAAGCCTACCGATTCTCGTATTGCAGACCCATGACGTGCACAAAAGTTGCTTCTTGCGCTTGTGAATGAGGTATGTCTTGTTCACCTTCATTCTCTCTACGATGAGTTCAAATCGATTGGTCTTGAAGACAACCACAATGGTTAAAAATCTATATACATGCTTAGCTTTCTGACGCTCTGTCCTTATTGACAATTACGGAAATGCGTAGTATACTGACATTCCGTTGTTACCGCAGGTGAACTCACTGCAGGCCATATGTAAATTGATCTCGCCTTGGTGACAATGAGGGATGTTTGGTTGCAGCGCCTACTGTTATGTGAGTATCTCTCCGCTTAGAATCCTGCGCCTTGCTTGTCAATATGTCGTTGTGATGATCCACATCTTCATTCGCGAATTGAAAGATGTTCGTGGTGTTTTAGATCGCCCGGACCTTGATTAGATCATTTCGACCCCATCTGACTATTCTATCATACCTTCATGCCAATGTTCCTTTGGCGCGAGATTACTAACGTGCCTTACTTCCCTTGCAGAACGAACAAGGTTCATCAACTTATATGCGATGACCTACCTTGTGTGGTGTCATGCCCCAGGTACGTACAAGGTGTTCAACTCGAATAGATCCCAACGTCGCAGCGCCATCGGCATTGCAGAGCCATGCAGCCATCGTGAGAGATCACATTAGAGGCAGCGATAGGGTTTAGAGGCGATGTCCGGGTCTCATGTATCTACCAGAATTTGCCGCAATTCATGCGCTGTTGTACATCATTTACCCGCGAGGACGTCGTATCAAGGTCATGTACACAGCAAAACCAAGTTCATATTACTTTCAATATGCAAAACGGAACGTCAGCTTTGCGTTGCCCTGAAATGAGCGCTGCGTGAGATGCTTGAAGCGTTCTGTGTGGAAGTGCGCTCACCTCGTCTTCAGTAGTCTTCAAGTAATGCTCTTGCTCCTATCGTTCGGCGAAAGATGTTAGAATGAATTGCTGCCAGAAGGAGCTGCTCTTACTGAAGGTGTCATTGAGTACCATATTCTGTCTCTCCGTCTGTTGATTGTACGATAAAAGAAGAATGTAAAGATATAGAGGCAGATGTTCATGCAAGTTATGGCTATGAGGTCCATGTTGCCTCGCTTGTCTGTGGCAGCGTCAGAAGGTGCGAGCGTCAAGATCAATCAGCAGACGTACACAACAGCTATACCGAAGGCAGAACGAATGAGAATTGAATCACAAAGCTTCAACGGACAAGACCACGTACAGCGTCGTCAGACCGGTAAATATTAGATTGTGAGGCATATGAGCCGGTTGGACGCTAGCAACAGCAGAGCAAGGACTCACTGCTACAATCACTCCTGCGTTGATCAACATGGTACACATCGATGCCGACACCGTCCGCGTGCTGACGCTCGCAGAATTTGTGGACGTCCACGCAACCTGGATAGGCACGACGTAGGGAAATCCTGTAATCAGGGTGACGACTGCATAATACACCCAATCCGACGTCTTCTTCGTAAAAGTCTCCAGCGCGACAAGCAAGGGAAGTGCCCAGAACTGCAAAATTATCGTAGCACCAATGCGGCTGTTGATAGTCTCGCTCAGATACGACGAGATCAGCAGGTTGATCGCACCGATCACGGTAGAAGGAATGCTAAGCAGGTTGGCCTGGACGGTGTTGAATCCGAGTTTGCGGAGCGATAGCGTCAGGTATGTCTGTGGAGGGTTGACGGGTACTGCTTGTGAGTCAGCGATGCACCAACGGGATGTCATATCACATAGTCCTTACTCATGTGAGTGAAGCCCAGAATATACAGCGGCCACATCTTCCAGTCCCTCAAGATCTGAATTAATCTGGTGAGCGCGAGTCCTTCGCGGTTGTGCATGTCAGACTTGGTCGGATCATCACGGAGCACTCGGTTAACCATGATAATCTCTTCCCTGGGCGAGAAACGATCAGACATGCGTTGGGGCAGTCCACAAACATCGGCATACCTCTCAGTGAACCATCCGTTAGGTCGATACCAAGCCTTCGTCTGAGTAGGGCCAGGAGACATCATAAGAAATGTAGCAAGCCCGACGAATAACGTCAATAGGCCTTCGATGAGGAAGAGGTATCGCCATCCGGCCCTGCCTCCCACTCCATCAAGACGCAGAATACCGGTAGCTAGAAAGGCGCCAATAATCTGCGCGAAATAGTTGGACATGTAGAACCATGCAAGACGAATGGGCACTGGAAGACGGCGGCACTTTGGTTGGTCGTCCAATATTAATGAGGAGTTAACGTACTTACGTTCGGTTGTTGTGTAGAAGTATGATAGGTAGAGAATGACATCGGGAACAAAACCTCCTTGCAACAAGCCGAGCAAACACCTGTACGATTGATCATGATCAAACACATCTTACCCGTAAGAGGGTCATGATTACCTCGTCGCCAGGAAGGAACTTCGACCAGACAACCAAAATTGCCCGAGGCCTGTAAGACTCCAGAGAACAACCTCCTGAATGCGTAAGCGAAAAAAATGAAGAAATACAGGATACATTGTACACACTTGACATGGAACCCAAATGTCCGGGCCAACTTTCTTGGAGATCACTTGCGCCGGCAGCTCGGAAATCAGGTAACATAGCTAACATTGGTTCGGTTATCAGCATCCATTCACGCCAACAACTAGGGTGCGTACTCGAACTAATGAGTCACCTAGATTGTAGTCATCTGTTGTCATATGGAGGTCCTGGAGGAAGTTATCGGTGTTTGCTTGAGAGAGGTTCGAACGATCGAGATCCAGGCAGAAGAACATGATGATCGCCCAGATCATGATACGGCAGTCTATCTTCCGGACCAAACGCTGTAAGAAGGGTCGTCGGGAGCAGGTCCGCAAGTGGCGACGAAAGCTGAATGGCAAAGGCTTACCGTCTCCTCGCGCCACGTCCACCGTGCGTTCGGATCGAATTTGTGCGCATTTTCGTATGCGGCCGGAGGACGATATAGCTCAAGGTAAAAGAATCGTCGAACATGGAAAACTGGGTTGCGAGGCCATCCAGGTCTCTCTTAGGCCGCCTTCTCCAAACGGACCGTCTAGAGAGTGGCTCGACCGAGGCACCGAGCTCGGATGCTTGCTTCGAATCGAAGCTCGAAGTTGGAATGATGGCTATCTCGCATTCCTTTTCCCTCTCCGAGTCATATTCAGGCTGTTGTGGTGCAGAACGTAGAGCCATCGACATGGCCTAGATTGAAGGAAAGCGGAGCACCCGGGACACTACTCCTTGTCGTTATCTTTGATTCTTATATGTTGACGGGGTCATGTCTGTCATGAGTAGCGCGGCGGATCGGAACGCGGGTTACGTACACCTGGCAACCTGCCTTGCTTCTAGCGCGACCTCGACACCGTCAACATGAAGACAGGTGTTCAGCTTTTTGATGCTAAGACTTTCGTTTGTATGGGTTGGCGGGATCGCGTGCGTATTGCCGGTGAATCGCGTTATGTATAGGCAGCAGACTGAAGCGCTGGAAGTACGCACTCCGATTGGAGACTGATGATCACATGCGGAGAGTGTAAGATAAATTTCTACATAGAACGTGAGGGTAGGTACTTCTCTACATATCACTAGGTGATGTTCTAGGGTGGAATGCTCGAATGGAGAACAGGATGTCGCACGTATCACGCGGCAGGCACGACATCTCTCGCCGAGCTGGCAAGTCGTGTCCAACGCACCGACTGCCGACCTATCCACCAGGGCATCTCCATTCAGGAAACATCGTAGACGACAGCAAGGGCGGTTGCAACCGAGTGCGTCTCATGTTGACAATTTTCATCAATACACGAAGCGGAAATTTAGCCTTGCGTTGCCCTACAGAAAAGATGAGATGATGATGCATCAGCGGACCATAGCACGAGCGATGTGTACCTGATCCTGCGTGGTATCCAGGTACTTTTGCTGTTCCTGAGGCGGATAGAATGGTGAGCTGGGATCTTCTTACCATAAGGCGTACTCACATCTGGTGTCAAGGAGTCCCATTTCCTTTCCCTCCGCTTGTTGATCGTGCGGTAGAATATGAAGGTGAATAAGTAAACGAATATGTTCATCACGGTGATTCCGATGAGGTCACGGTTGCCATGTCGGTCTGTTGATGTCGACTTTGTTAGTAAGGGTACGAATGCACTTCTAGTCGCACGTACACAATGGCTAGAAAAAACGACGAGTCAGCTGATGCTCGAGGCTGCAGCAGATAAAGAGACATGCCGCGTCATATGATCGGTATATGTACGCCTTAAATGTGCGGAGTCAGTCATCGCCGTCAAAACATACAACGTGACCACGACGAGAATACTTACCGAGACGATACCGCCTGCTTGGACAAACATATTATACACTGACGCGGACACCGTCCGTGTTCCAACACCACCCGAATTCGCGGACGTCCATGCAACTTGTATCGGATGAACATATGGATAGCCCACAATCAACGTGACGACTGCATAATAGACCCATTGGGATGTCTGCTCGGTGAACGTGTATAACGCGACTAGCAGCGGGAGAGCCCAGAACTGGAGGATCACCGCCGCTATTGTCCGACTGCTGATCATCTCGCTCAGATAGCATGATATCAGCAGAGTAATCATCCCGAGGACCGTCGACGGAATGCTGAGAAGATTGGACTGAGTGGTAGTGAATCCGAGGTGCCGCAGCGACAGCGTAAGATATGTTTGCGGAGGAGTCACGGGAACTGCCATTACTTCATGAACACTTGGTTCAGGTTCAGACATGACATAAACGTACTCATGTGGAGCAAGCCCAGAATGTAGATGGGCCACATTCTCCAGTCCTTCAACACCTTCCATATCTTCGCAGGCGTGAGGCCTTCTCGGTTATGCATGTCGGACTTCGAAGGATCATCGCGCAGAACGCGGTTGACCATGATAATTTCCTCACTGTCATAGTGCGCATTAGCAAGGACGCTCAGATAGAGAGAAACGCTTTACCGTTCGGTAAACCACCCTTTCGGTCGATACCAGGCTTTCGTCTGCGTCGGGCTCGGAGGCATCATGTAATATGAGCCGAGGCCGACTAACAACGTGAATCCACCTTCGATCAGGAACAGATATCTCCATCCTGCCCTGCCATGGACGCCACCTAGGCGGAGAATTCCCGTCGCAAGGAAGGCGCCTACAATCGACGCAGCGTAGTTCGACACCCAGAACCACGCGAGTCGTATCGCCACTGTTGGCCGGTAAGTCACATATCATATCGCACAGGCAAGGAACACGCACGTTCGCTGGTGGTGTAAAAATAGGACAAGTAGAGAATTACATCAGGTATGAAGCCACCCTGCAAGAACCCGAGCAGACACCTGACAGCTCATATTTAGCAAGAGATGATTTCGCAAAGCAGATCACTATACCTCAAGGCTAGGAATGATCCGCGTCCCGAGAGCCAAAATTGACAGAGAGCGGCAATGGACCATAGAACCATCTGCAAACGAGTGAGCACTGCATGAGGATCACACAATGTCCGCCATACCTGTGTCGGAATCCAGACATCTGGGCCAACTCTTTTAGAAACAAGCTGCGAAGGAAGCTCGGCCGCTAAGAAGCAGATCTACAGTTGTTGACATCAATGCCAAAGACGCACAGTAGAAGTACGTTTTCAACAGTACCTTGAACAAAGAATTCCCGATATTATAGTCATTCGTCGTCATGCCCAGATCCGGCAGGAAGTTGTCCGTGTTCGCCTGCGTGATATTAATTCGATCGAGATCCAGGGCGAAGAACATGACCCAAGCCCAAATCATGATGAGCACGTCGATCTTGCGGATCAGACGCTGAACCACAGACGAATTAGCTCGCGTCAGGTTAACGGTAAGAAATTTGACTCACACGTTCTTCTCGCCATGTCCATCGCGCGTCAGGGTCGAAACGATGAAAACCTTCATATACAGGCGGTGGGCGATATACTTCCAGAGTTTTTGGATCATCGAAGACAGATGGCTGCGTCGCGACACTGTCCAAGTCTTCCCGCCGCCGCCGCCAGCGGAATCTCCGAGGCTTATCGTCTAACTGGTCGTCAAGAACAGGCAGCTGAACCGAGCTGACCGAGGGACTTCCATCCTTGGAATCCAGCTCAGACTTGTCCTTGAGCGCGGCGGTCGACCGAACAGTGGTCATGGTGGCTGAACTGGGAGCAGGACGGTCGCCGGACGATGCATCCCGGACCCATCTTATACCAAGCGGACACACCAGAGATAATACGAGAGCGGAGAGGCGAAAAGCAAATGCGTGCAGAGAAAGGCGACAAACCTTTGAGTCGTGACTTATTGCGTGATTTGCGAAATCAAGCTCCCAATTGCGTTATTATGCGGGCTCAGGTTCAAGATCAAACACATGATCGATCGACTGTGTAAGCTTGATTGTAATCTCTGTTAGCTCTCGACTGCCCAATCATTGACGATAAGGTACACTACGCTTCACGATACGCGAAATCGGTCACCGCCTCGGCATTCCTCTTCCCCTCGCCCCCAGAGCGCGCTGTGCCGTGCCTGGAGGTGCTCTCGGTCCCGGATTCGGCTGAAAACCGGAGCACGTCAGTGAGCGTGACACGGATATGGTCAGTGTAGACCGGAACGCACCGCTTCGCTCTGCGGTCCCCGAACGGTCTCATCAACACTGAGAATCAAGCAAGCCGCCTCCGTCGCGCTGTTGATCGCGTTGACCTTGACCAAACTGGGCTCCCAAACGAATGCCTCCATGTTGTCCCGGACACCCTCAGGGCCATCCACGTCCACTCCATACCACTTCTCGCCGCTTGCGTGTTTCATGCGCAGTTTGTTGAGGACGTCCGTCGAGTCAAGACCAGCGTTGTCGCAGATTTGACGAGGAATGATCTCAAGAGCCTTGGCAAATGCTATCATAATGAGCTGCACTTTGCCAGGAATTGACAGAGCGTGCTTGCGAATGTGCGCCGACAGGTCCATCTAACGTGATGCTGAGTCTGGAAGGCGTCTCATAATTTGAAAACGTCGGTACTGACCTCGATAGCGCCTCCACCAGCGACGACTTCGCCATTTTTAACCGCTCGCTTGACGACCATGATGGCATCGTGCAAACTGCGCTCGACTTCCTCGATGAACTGTTCCGCGCCGCCGCGCAGAATCAAAGTACACGTTTTCGCCTTCGGGCACTCTTCAAAGACGTTGTACCTCTCTCCACCAATTTGTCGCTCGTCGAATCGTCCACAGGTGCCCAGATGTTCGCGCCTGATGTCCGAACATGTAGATTGAATGGAACCACCGACGGCTTGTACAACTCTCTGCAGATCAGCTGCTGGCACTCGACCGGCGCAGAAGATATCCCGGTCTGCAAACCACTGAGTGGCAAGGTCACCAATCGGGAGCTTGCTGAGGACTATTTTTGCGCCTGTCTTCTCGATAGCATCTAATTTTCGATAAATGATCTCCCACTCCGCGTCCACAATCGCCTGATAGTCCGATACCGCCTCTACACGGACCTCAGCATTGTCTTTCTCAGCCTTCAGTTCAAGCTCAACGTTCAGGCTGAGAATTAATGGGTCATGGAAGGACTTCGGTTGCTGTTCGGCGCCAGCGTATGTGAACGTCTTTTTGAACGCAACTCCACTGATCAGCAGTGAATCCTGCATGCCTCCTCCAGGAACTTTCTTGACGCCAATGAGTGATTCGTCGAGATCTTCTTGGTCCAGGCACTGCACGGCATCCACGACCATATTCGAGAAGAATGGCTTCTCTGAATGGATGAGTTTTGAGGACATGGAAGTTGCTGCGCATTTGAGCAGGAGATCGCGGAAGAATCTACAACATGTCAACTGTCGCGCCCGAATGATAGACATTATCAGAATATACGCACTCGGGGTTCGATTTGTCAACAGTGACTTGGATCTCTTTGATGCGATCCACTGCCTGAATACTCGTCATCAGTTGAACTAAATCCGCTTCGTTTTCGCGACTCACCAGCTGAGCTGCCTGACGGAAACCCTTCATGATGATTTGAGGGCTAACGCCTTCCTCAATGTACCCTCGAACCTCCTTCAGGAACTGCGCGGCTAATAAGACCACACTTGTGGTACCATCTCCGACCTCTGCATCTTGAGCGCGAGCGATATCCACCAGCGTCCGCGCCGCTGGATGCACAATGTCCAGAAGCTTCAGAATTGTCGCACCATCATTTGTAATTTGAGCCTCCCCGCGTTCCGAGACGATTAATTTGTCCATTCCCCTTGGTCCAAGAGTACTCGAAAGTGTTTCCGAGACGGCCAGACATGCCGAGATGTTGGATAGTAGCTGAGCTTTGCCTTGTGATGTGTCCGTCCCCTCCTTGAGGAGGACTACGGTCGGTTGCTGCGGAAATGAGCCCTTGGTGCATGCTTTGTTACAGACCACTCACCATTGGAAGACCTCGCTGCATTTTGTGGGCCAACGACGAGGTTGAGACAGACTTATGCAGTTGAAGTCGTGTACGTACGTATTATTAGCGCTTCGCTCTGGTCTGGCTGTATTGATGTTTATTTGGGCCAACGCGCCGGTGGCTGCAGATTGAGGACGCGTCTTGCGAGTCGGGCCTTCCTGTCTCTCGTTACCATGTCTGCACTTCCCATCGGTGCACCTCCCATGTTCTTTGGGAGCTCTGATGAAGAAGACGATGCGCCCATGAACGAGTCACCGCTGTCGCAACTTCGAGGTGCACGCAGTGAGCAAGCACTGTTCTTTGCTGATAGTGAAGACGAGGATCGGATAGATGGCGCTGTACCTGCTCCTGTTCCTCTCCTGGACAGCGACATGTTGGATGAGGGCTATATCTCTGATGGTCTGGAGCTACCGCAACTCGTTCAGTCTCCTAGAGCCTCTAGTGTATCCAGTGTATCTTCTGCTTGTGCTTCTCGGGCTTCTTCGCCTATCCCCTTTGTGGAGTCTAAAGGATCTCCAGCGAGAAAACGCAAGCTATCCTTCTCGGAAGATGACATCCCTCCTTCGAACCTCACCTCTGCATATTTGGGATCCTTCATAGTGGAGAATGCCTGGAGCACCGTTCGGGGCAATGGCTACATGATACCAGGAGATGAGATGTCCGTAGAGAGGGATGCTCCAGAAACCATGAGCTCTTCAAGTGCGAAAAGGGCAAAGATGAACAATGTTAAGGGAAACGGAGGGAAGAAGCAGCTGTCCATAGCGACCATGCTGAAACCGCAGTCCGCGAAACCCGCTAAGAAGAAACAGGACTGCGTCGTCCGTTTGACGAATCAAAGAGGCTTTGGTTCGTATTGCAATGCATTAGAGTATCTTACGCGCAAAGGACTGATACAGTGCAGAGTTTGGCCGCTTACCGCAGGACGTAGCATCTTGGGTTGCTAAATTGCTTGACCTCGGTGAGTCGAACTCGCTAAATCAGGTTCATTGATTCCTCACAGACAAATTAGGGATCGTCGATATCAAAGGAAGCATGATAGAATGTCCTGCAACACTTTACTCTGGGGCAGATCTAATCGTGTCGCTGTCAGTATATATCAAAGCGTCAGCATTCAGACCTCCGAGCACCTGCTCAAAAGAGAAAGCCCCTACGATGTTCAACGAAGGGCAAGAAACCGCGGATGAGCAAATGCTGCGGGAACGCAAGCAGGCATTGCTGAGCATGTTCGACGTCCTCGACCTGAAACCGCATCGAGGGAGCAGTTTCAATCGGAAGGCAAACAGCCAATTGGTTAAACAGGACCTGGAAGCCCTCATTCAACAACCGGATGTGAAGAAAGGAAAGAAATCTGTAAGAACGGAGATCGTCGGTGATGGCGAAGAGATCGAAGTGGAGGGTGAAGGCGACGATTTATCTGACAACGAACTGGATCTCATTTACAAGAGGTTTGTCTACAAGCGTCAGGCAGTGTGAGAGAGGTGTTGAATGACTCCGTAGAGCGCAAGAAAATGATCATCAACTGGACGAGATGGACCCCGCTGACTCCTTCACGCTAACACTTCGTCGATACCAGAAACAAGCTCTATGGTCCGTGATTCCTCTAGATTCGTGCTGATATGCGATTTGACTCGCACTGCAGTTGGATGCACTCGATCGAGACTGGGGCTACATCTGCTCGTGAAGAACGTTCCATGCATCCTCTGTGGAAAGAGTGAGAAACAACTCGCCGATATTAATGCAACACGACTACTGATCACAGCTGTAGGTATATCTTTCCGCCTGACCCCGCCCAAGATATTATCGACCTTACCGATGAGAGGGCATTTTACTTCAACGAGTATTCCGGAGAACTCAGCCTGCAGTTTCCGAAGGCAGAACGCAAGTGTCGAGGTGGTATCCTTGCGTACGTCTACTGCAATGCATCTTAGAGGTCACAGAGCTAACATCCCGTCAGCGATGGTAATAAATTTTCAAAATAACGCATAAAATGAACGCTGATCATGATTCCCTCCACCCATATCTGCTCGTGCACCGCAGAGAGTATGTGCCTAGTCCGACTTAGCGTAATTGCCGCTGAAGCCGTGCGATTTCAGTGGGCATGGGGAAAACAATCATGTTGTCAGCTCTGATACAAACTGCGCGTGGACCAGAAGAACTCAATACCGAGGCGCAATTCAGCAACATGAATAAGAAGCGTCAGCTGAAACTCAACAGTGCTTTCCGCTCTCTCGCGACGCAGGAAGTTCGACAATCGAAGGGCCCGTCGGCGACTTTAATCGTAGCTCCAACGTCTCTCCTCTCTCAATGGGCGGAAGAGCTCCAACGATCGAGCAAGCCGGGCGCGCTCAAGGTGCTCGTTTGGCATAGCCAAAATCGAGGAGATCTTGAGGCCGCTCTGGATGGAGATGATGCCGTTGATGTGGTCATTACGTCTTATGGGACGCTGGTTTCGGAGCACTCCAAATCTGAAAGGTTTAGCGGTGGTGCGATGTCTCCGGTCTTCGAAAGTGCGTGGGGGTCCATTTCACTGGATCATTTGTCTGACCTTGACGCACGCCTAATGGTAGTTGAATGGTTGCGTAAGTTAACCTTTTCTTCACGTACGAATCCCTCTTTCTGATATCATTCCAGGTGTTGTACTTGATGAAGCCCACCACTGCAAGTCTCGACAAAGCAAGACCGCGAAAGCTGTATATACCTTACGGGCAAGAAGGAAATGGGCCGTCACAGGTGAGCAATTGAGAAGCTGCTAGACAACTTAACTGATACATTAACATCCAGGGACACCAATTGTCAATCGGCTGGAAGATCTATATTCGCTGCTGTTGGTCGATTATCCTCAATTTTGTGACGACCGACTGATCTACGTTTGCAGCAAATTCCTTAACTTCACACCATGGTCGAACTACACATTCTTCCGATCGTATGTCTCAGACATTCTAGCTCATTGACATCTTTAATGAAAGGTCCGCGTAGATTCGTCACGCTGCCATTCCTCGCTCGGGATCCAAAGGCTGTCGAAGTCGTGCAGATCATATTAGAAAGTGTGCTCTTGAGGCGCGAGAAGGACATGCGTGACACGGATGGCAGGAGAATTGTAGAGCTACCACCGAAAGAAGTATGTTTCAAGGATTATGATTAAGTCTCGCCTTTTCATCCAGTATGTGGAAGGTTACTATCGAAAGCCTGGAGTTCTCGCCTCTGGAGCGGAAGATTTACGACTCATTATACGTGAATGCAAAGAAGGATTTCGACCGATTGAACGAGAAGGGTCTCGTGAGCAGAAACTACACGCATATTCTTGCCATGCTCATGCGGTGCGTCAGCGTACTTAGACTAACTTATTATATGCTGAACTTGAGGATAGATTGCGTCGAGCGGTGCTTCACCCCAATCTGGTGCTGTCTGGTCCGGAAGACCTCAAGACGGAGCATGGTGACAGCGGCATAGACGTCAATGCGCTCATCAAGCGCTTCGAGGAGGGGGGAGATGCCGACAGGGGAGCTAACGCCTTTGCGGAAGACGTGCTCGCCAATCTAGGCAAGGACAACGAGCGCGAGTGTCCGATATGTTTCGATGTGATGGAGACACCGACGATTCTGCCTCGCTGTCTGCACCAGTGGTACGCCTGAATAGATGAAGTGCTGTCATGGAGCTGACTATTCAAAATTTCAGTTGCAAAGACTGCATTGTTGCGTTCATCGAGACGTGTCGTCAGAAGGGCGAGGATGGGAGATGCCCCACGTGCTCAGATCCAGTCAAGGTGTGCAGGCTGTACCGATGCTCAAAAAGTCACCCAAAATTTCCGTTCTTAGGAGAGCGACCTGATCGAAGTCGTCCGCGTGAAGCAACAAAACGGTGACGCCTCGGGCAGTGACATACAGCCCGAACGCCCGGCAGTAACTCTGCGGCGGAATGACTTCCGATCATCAACTAAATTGGACGCTCTAATGCAGAACCTCAGTACGTCGTATTCCTCAATTCACTATCTGTATTAATAATGTCCATTTGTAGGACGTCTAAGAGACCAAAACCCCTGCTTTCGGGCCGTTGTCTTTTCTCAGTTCACCACTTTCTTGGACCTCATTCAGACGATGCTGGAGCGGGAACGATTGGTATGGTTTAGATTTGATGGGTCGATGGACGTGAAGAAGCGAAACGAGGCCGTGACTGGGTTCAGGGTCCCCAAGAGACAACCACAGGTTTTAATAGTCAGCCTGAAAGCTGGCGGCGTCGGCTTGAACGTGAGTGATGCTGACCAAATTGCTAGCCTTTCCAATGTGCTTATAACTCCTCTGGCTCAGCTAACGAACGCCAATCATGTCTTCATGGTATGTGCACTCCAGTGTTTGTTGTGTTATGATCTCTGTTAACGCGCCGGATAGATGGATTGCTGGTGGAATGCAGCAACCGAGAACCAAGGTATGTTGGGCTGCAATTGCACTGAAACACTGCTTTGACTAATGACTGTCTGCAGCGATCGATCGTGTGCACAGAATCGGCCAAGATAAACCGGTATACGTGAAACAATTCATCGTAAGTATATGCATGTTGCAACTCACACTCAGAATCACGAAAACCATTCCTAGATCTCTGATACCATCGAAGGGCGCATCCTGCAGATTCAAAAGAGAAAAACCGCTATCATCAAGGAAGCATTCCGCGGAAAGGGACAGGATGACCGAGAAAGCATAGAAAATCTCCGCATTATGTTCGGGGACGAGTAGGGAGAGAGTGCAATTCTCCCACCATATCTTTCGGATGTGGAAGCTGCTGATCACAAATTCTGTAGATAAATTAATGAGGATTACATTTCTATGGGCTATCAACCTTCTGTATTATTCTGTCTATCAGTATATTCTGCAAGAAGCTGCAACAGATCTGTCACAGATTGACATGCATATATAGTGGGAACCATCACTAAGCATGGGCTTAGTATTACTGACCTTTTGGCAAAATGACTAAAAGTGAGGTTTGTGGATTAAAGGTTTCAAATCTGTGATGAAGGCCCAGCAATCTCCATATGCAAAAGATATGGAAGGAGCATTGCATTCTTTATGTATAAGGAGGAGGTAATCCCACTCTCATCATCCCTTTTTATGTTTACAATTCTGTATACATTAGTTTTTTAATGCCTTCATGAAGCAGATGGCCTCTATAGAAAAATACCTGATGAATTGGACAGATGGCCTCTATAGAAAATTATCTGATGAACTGGACAGCTCAGGTAATTTTCTATAGAGGCCATCTGCTTCATGAAGGCATCAATGTATCCCTTGCTCGCCAGAGCAAGGCTCTCAGCCTCGAAATGAAC